AGAGAGGGAGAGAAAGAGGAAAAAGGAGAGAGAAAGGCAGAGGAAGAGGGAGAGGAAGAGGGAGAGGAAGAGGGAGAGGAAGAGGAAGCAAGAGAAGGATAAGGAGAAGCAGACAAAAAGAAAGAAAAGGTGGCAAAAGGTTTTCTTTTTTCTCTTTGCTCCTGATCACCTCAGGACAAGTTTGCTGTAATTCCATGCATAGGCAGCAAACATGCTAGGGCCAACTGGACCTTTTCATTGTCTAGCGGTTTGAAAAATTGTTCAAGTGTTGTTTTTTAAGAAGGGTTTAAAAAGTGATTGGATCCGTTGGGAAAGGCGGCTTGAATTTCGAAATTGGCAATTGCCGGTGTAAAGGGTTTGTCTTCTCTGGGGGCCAGGATCACCTCAGGAAAAATTTGCTGCAATTCCGAACCCAGCCAGCACACCTACCAAAGCGAACTGGGCCGACTCATGGTTTTTATAGTTGCTTGGAATTTTGTTCAGGTGTGGTTCTTTAAGAAGGGTTTAATGCTACGTTAAGTTACCAGAAAGTAGGTTGATTTGCCTTTTAGGCGCCAAATGCCAGGTCTGGTTGAAAGGGATGGAAGGAACTCAGCTCGGGCACTTAGACCAGCTGCAGGTAGGAATGAGCAATCCATGGTGCTGGCAGATACCCATGGTGATCCAACAGGTCCTTTTTATAGTGTTTTAAAAAATTGAATGCAGCGGGGGATGCTAGGGTCTGAACATCAAACTGGGTTGCGACATGGTCATTATTTATTATCCGCTTAGTGAATTGGGATGCACATCCAAGTAATTAAGGGCCGCACATATGCAGCCTTTGGAGCTAGAAAAAATGTTTGTTTGTTACCCTAAACCAATTTTTTGAACACACAATGTTAGAATTTTTGGCGTCCACACGATCAATTGTTCAAACTGTAGGGTCTGGGAAGTAGAGTGCTTGGGGCACAGAAAGCATGAGCCAATGTGAGTACGGGTCAAAATTTTGGCATTATGAATCTCATCAGAACAACCGGCAGATGGATGTTCATCCTTCCGAAATTATCTCCGTCTCTCCCTACATATATACTATTATTATATTTATATACATAACAAAATGTGTAGATAATTGTAGATGTATATTATATATATATGGAAACATATTGTATGGAAATGTCGTTTAGTTTTGATTCATCCTCACGTTTTTTTTGTGAAATTCCCAGTTTCTGTTGTTTTGGTTTCGCAGCACAGTGGCACCAACCAAGGATGGGCGTGTGGGTGAACCATGGGGAAGGAAGGTGCCGGTTCCGGGGCGAAGTTTCGGGATGAAACTCGGGTTAACTGGGCTGGCGCCCAGCGGCGCTGGCGACCGTTTTTGGAAAATCGTTCATTAAGTGGCTGAATTCTATGGTTTATGGTAGATATAGTTTGATAATTGTATATAATAAACAACCTTATAACTGGGGGCACCACCCTATATTAGTTCGATGTTTTTTTCAAATGTATAGACCCTTTTTTCTTGTCAGAAATTTCCGAACTAGCCATGTTTGCTGACACCGGCAGGGGATTATAACCCCACACGTAAGGTGGTCGCAATTGGTATTCGCCAAAACCAGGTTCTGATGGGCACCGAATCATGGTTGAATGCCGGGGTCCACCTGATGGTCGTCAAACATGGGGTTGATTCAATCTAGAGGGCCAAAAATCATCGGAAAAATGGGGTACAAATACAAACTACAAACGATGGTTGTCAATTGGGGTATATAGGGTTATATAGTTATATAGAACAACCATGTAGTATATCATGTAGTACCGTTTGTTTCAGACCAATTCTGGAACATGTTTATCCTTATCAACCAGACAGTGACTGCAGGAGAAGGATTGAATAGGGTTGATCTTGGGGCCCCCTTGTTGGGGAGGATATTAATCTCCAAAATGGTACCCTGGATGTTAATAAATACTAATGGTGGTTGATAACTCATGGGTTTGATCAATGGCATGTTTTTCGATCGTTACCTAAACAGAATCTGTCGTGGCATCGGTGAATGATTGGGGCCCCTTTGACAGGGGCCTGGGACTGGGACCTGTCACAGGTGTCACTTCCCTGATGCCTCAGTCTTTGAACGTGTCAAGAAGTGGGGAAAACTCAGTGGGGGGAGGGGGCTCGCTCACAGGATCAATTCTAGTCAGGAAGAGCAGCCAACAAATACAGAACATTTGGGGATAAATCCCCTCTTGTTATTGAACAGTTTGCTATGGAAAATGGCCAACATTGAGGCTATGTTTGATGACCTACCTATGAACAATGGATAACAATGGTGATTTTCCATAGCTACGTTAAATTACCAGACGGGACCAGAAGGTAATTCCACTAACAAAAAGTGGAGAACATCTAGTGGCAATAAACAATCCCGAATGTGTAGACCTTGATTTGCCCAAGGGAAGTCCACCAGTGAATCTATATTTTTTTTTTCGGGATTTATAGGGATATTTTTTGGGGGGGATATATACTTGAGTAGGTATGATCACCATGTATTTAATTGGCAACTTCAAGGACCATTGGAGGGCAGTGTGTTGTTTCTTTCCCGGAGGGAGTGCTTTTGCCTCAACCGTTGACGCTGCATTGACACTGCAGGGAGCAGTTAATCCCCATGCGCTACATTGATGACGACGGCAACGCGACGGAGACGTCCGGGAATCTCAGATGTTTCTCGATCGGGGCCAGGTTTGGAAGTATCAAAGTGTTGGAACCACAATCGAGCTGATACTATGCTTGCCTGGCCCTGGGGGGTTCTTCAAATTTACGCGGGATCCCCAGTCGTCACCATGGTTGTTGTCATTTTTATTCTCGTGCCACACAGATGGGGTGGGTTTACCACACAGATGGGATGCCACGTTATGAAATCTCTACGCCGTTAGGATGCATCTTCTCTGGCGCTTAAAAACACACACGGGATTCCGGGATGGTACGTCCTTAGGGATCGCAACTCGAGTTTGGACACAGTCGCACACAGTCACGTACGAGTTTCTACTTCATGAACGTTAGCCGCTAACGTTATTTTTAGCCCTGCTACTGTAGCACTGGATGCACGTCTTCGGCTTTTTATGTCATGGATGTCAAAGTTGGACGGTGGTGAAGTCGGTGGTTCACTGAGTGAATGGACCCGAAAAGTCAGGTGAAACGAGGTGAAACGATGTAAAACATGAACCGCACCGGAGCAACTCTCAATGGCAGGTTCTGGGACAGAATATACCAGTGGATATTCAGGCACACTGTGCCAAAGTGACAGCTACCCGAAAACATGGAAGAAAAATGGAAAACGTGCAGCTGCAACTTTTCGTTGTCATGATGAAAACACATTCTTCAGGACATAGCAACACGTGAGGCATTTTTGTACATTGACTTCAAAAATGCAAAGGTGCGAGGATCCGTGTTACCATGTTTTTTGCCCAAACAATTCGGCCCAACCGAGTTTCGACTGCTTCCTGTCGTAATAAAACTGCAGTGGATGGTGATGTTCGGCCGTTTTTAGCTCCATTTTTGGGTGGGATTTTCCCGCCGCAGAGTTGTTCTGCCCTAAACTGGCCACTTTTATGGAAAAATATATGAATATGGGTAAACATATAAAAAATATGAATATGAACTGGACACTTTTTATCCTATATACCATTATGGAAAAATATCATGAACATACCCATAGGATCCATGGTGCTGCTATATATGGTAACATGGATCCCATCAATATACCCCCTTTATGTTAGCATATATACCAGCACCATGGATCCGTCATGGGATATGATAAATTATGATAAACCAGGAGAGCTGGGGGCAGCCTATTTTCGGAACCAAGGAAGACCCCCTGATCTTCCTTGGGAAGATGCCAGACTCCAGGGGCTCTAAAACTAATGGGTGGTTCTTTGGATGTTTTTATTTTTGCAACCTTTTAAATAAACTCATCAATGTGAACAACTATTTTTTCAGTTTGTTTTTCGTGTTCAGATCTGTTGAACTACTTTTGGTCGGTATTGGTTTGTTGCAGAAAAGCAGACGTTGCGACCGCAGTTTTTCGAGGTCTTTCGTGGCAATGGACATTTCCGCAAAGAACACCTCCATTCACAGTGGATTTCCAATTGCCATATTTGATTGCCAGAGGGTAAATAATATGACTTTGTTTGCAAATGGTACCCCAAATCCATCAAAATCCCATGGGTTCAATGATCATGTTCCATCATTTTCCTTGTAAAATACCAGAAAACACCACAAACCCACCACTCCAAGCAACTGCTCCAAGATTTCTTCTCCTTGCGAGGTATCCCTTCAATCCCAACGGCTCACCGGAGGGCATCGTGGGTCTTTGCAGCCTGGGGGCGCAGAACATGATTTAACTTGCAAAAATAGGGGTGCAAAAAAAGTGGGTTTAATCTTGTTGGGATAAGTGGATTTTTCAATCTTAGTTGGGCTATATATATATATAGAAGCAACTTCTCGGTCCCAATCCCTCGAGAAATCCACGTGAGTTGTCTGTTGGAACTGGGTCCCACAAAATCTCACGAAGCCTCACACAGCTTTAGAGTTGATTTGGGACATAGACATCCTGATGCTGACATTCGATTTGTTTTTGTGGGGAAATTTAGGGGAACGCCTAATATTTCATGTGAAAAACCATGGTTTCCGGCTTCGATTTTCCCGACTAAACCAATCCAATTAGATTGATGGATCACAACACATCTGAAATTATTCAGACACGTCATGGACAACACACAGCATGGTCTTGAAGACAATTCATACAATGTGATGCCCCCCAGTTATAAGTTGGTTTAGATTCGCCCCAGTAACTATAGTTATAAGTACCACAAACCATAATTATTGGAGTTATAAACCAACTTAGCTATCTTGGGGGCCTCATATTGTAGCTTTAGGTCAACTCCCTTGTGCACCTGCTTTCCGACTTCTCGTCATACTTCAGTCCAGCGATTTCACTACGTTCAAAAATCGTGCCTAACCACCTGCCTCTCCAATTCCTGGATGGTGCCCCCGAGAAAACCAGCAAGAAAACCAGGTATATGTTGGTTGAAATAATCCCCTTTAACTATAGTTATATATATTCTTGTTATATCATGTTATATCTTGTTATATCATGTTATATCTTGTTATATCATGTTATATCATGTTATATCTTGTTATATCATGTTATATCTTGTTATATCATGTTATATCCCCCACAAACCCTAGTTCTTGGAGTTATAAAATCTGATGTTCACCAACATCTGCGGTATCTTTAGTCACTTTAGTCCAGCCTCACCAGGGTCCAAACGCCGTTTCTCAGGTTCAGATGGAAGAATCCTGTCCATCATGCCGCACCCTGAACGCCTGGCGAGCTGGTCGGAGCCCCCGTCACCGGTATTTTGCAGAGTTTGGGAAGTGGAAAATCACCATAGCTATCCATAGCTGAAGAAGTAAGTTATCTTATATTTTTATACAATATTATTTTTTTTCATTGGATTTTATTGGCCATGTTCCATAGCGCTAAATTGACTAAATTGCCAGAGGGCAGGTATCCCAGGTATCCCAGGATCCCGAATGAATGATTTCAAGATGTTTAGAGTTTATGTTTTTTTTACCAATGGCCTTAGTAAGTAAACTCAAATGAATTGGTCTTGTCCTCATTTTCACTGGTATGTCTGGTATCCCAACAATATCATTTGAGGCTTAGAACTTCAGTTCTTACTCTTCGGCCAACGCATCCACCCTTTGTGGCTGGGGGTTGGGAGCAACCTTGTTTCGGGTCGTAAGGGCAGTTTACCCACGAACATGCTGGTCATTAAGCCGCTGACTAAGCTACAGATGGTCCCTGAAAAAAAGGCTCCACGTGAGCAAATCTGATGTGCCACGATTGGTTTGCAGTCTATGGAATATGGGGTTTTCCATGAAAATGTTGCCACATTTCATGTCTTCACCTGTTTTTAATATTTGCCAAATCCCTTCACCAGCAACACCTTCTTTTTGTCGGTCTTGCTGGCCTGGGCCTGGCCTGGGTATCATTCCCAAAATGTCTGGTTCGAGTTGTCTCGCTTGGCACTTAAACCATCTCAAATCATAGCTGATTGATTGCTGGGACAGCTCTAATCCTGACGGCATCACAGTTTTTTTTTCAGGGGTAGGGGGGAACATGCTGAAGATTGCTGAAGCATGTGGCCGAAATATAGTAAACATTGCCCTGCTTAAATCAGAACTTCTCCAAAACCTGTGACTTCTTCTTGGCAACATTTCCACCACTCCTTTGCTTACCCTCTGGTAATTGACAATCCTATATATATATATATATATAGGTGTTTTAAATGGGAATAACATCTATAAATATCTATAAATGGTGGATTTTTACATTGCCACCTTTGATTATCTGAGGGTCAATGAGTAGTTGTGTTGTTTCATCAACTCTGCATGCAGAACTCGTCTCGTCTCAGGCCGTGGCAATGGCCCTACGCTCCACAGGCGTGCAGAGTTCGAATGTCTTGGTCATGACCGGTTCGCGAAAATCAGAGTGCGAATAGGTAAATCATGGGATAAGCCATGGATGTCCCAAATTCCCATTGGTTGGTTGATGAAAAAAGAGGGGTTGAAGAAACCCCTGAAAAACAACAGGTAAATGATGATAGATGGTATACCAGCTCCCGGCCCAAACCTATTTTTACCAAAAGGACATTATTGATCATGGTGGAACCCCCCATCAGTTGGCGGACATAACCCCCATGAATACTATAGTATATCTACATATATCTACCATATATCTACCATGTATCAAATCAGGGAAATTTTCATCATAAATATGAGCAAATTTCATGACATGTTCCAAACTTCTGGGAAATTACCAGGATGTTCTGGGTAACTTTTATGGATTTTAAGGGTAACTTTCAACGACCTTCAAGACCTCGCCATAGATCATGGGCTTGTGGAAACCAGATGATCAACATGATCAACATGAATAGAATGGAATGTTGGTGAAGTACTCCCCACCATGGATTGTCCCGGGATTGAAGCGAAAATCTGCGAGAATCCTGGTATATTTGGGTACACCATGGTTTCAGCCATAGATTTTCCCATCCCATTCCATTGATTTTGGGGTGGAGGGTAAATCACACTGCTGCCTGGTCGAGCTGTAGCCGGAAAAAATTGGTATGATGGTGCAATATATTATATATAAGCTTATCATCCTAAAAGTTCGCATCTGTACATGACCAGTAGCCCTCTGGATAGCTCTATGGTTTGTTTCCAGGGAGCTAGCTGCTAGCTCTTCGGAAGATTAGCCTCATTAAAGTCACATCGCAATGGGAAAATGGCCATATTGGTCCCTGGTACCTCTACAAGTGGGGAGATTGTGCATGGCTGAGGGTAGCCAGGTGCATGTTGCTTCTATGTGCTTCTCCAAGAATGTGAGCCATTGTGATGGTGAATTAATGCACTGTAATGTTTTGCGAGAAAATCACGGTTGATAAATAATGAGAACTATATATATATATATATAGTTGATTTATGTAGTTTCACATGGTTTCACCTTAATTCAAACGTGTTAAATAGTGATCTAATGGTATTTAATTCAGAAAGTGTAAATGGAAAATGTTGATTTCAATATATTATATGCATGTATATACATATATATATATATACCAATATGTGTACGTTGTACAAAATCACCTGTAGTGTAGGTACCACCAGTAGGTACAATCGATCATACAGTCTGGTGATACTTTATGTGTGTTTCTATTGACAGCAATTACTATAGTTGCTGGTATATTCTATCAATGTCTATCATATGACTGGCGAAGTTATATACAGTAGTTTCCATTGGTTCCGAATACCTATGCGATACCCAATCATCAGAAGGTTTGTATAACAACAAATAGAATTCTTTTCAACCAATTCACATTTATATTGAATGTCTAACATATATTCGCACCATGGAGATGATGCCCATACCCTACATACCATGTTTTGATCATGGTATATACTGTAAATATATGCATATATATATATACATATAATTATATATATAATTATATGTATATCACATATATATATATATATACATATATCGACTCCAGGATATACCCTATGGATCCAAACGCCAAGGTACGGCTAACCCCCCAGTCATCATACCCCGTGCGATGTGGTGCGATGTCGCCAGGAGTGGATGGAGGGCTCCAAGAGATTGAGATGTTCCCCTTGGTGCGGATCCCATGGGATTTCAACGGAAATGTCGAGGATTTCACCATGGAACGCCAGAGGATTTTTCACAAACGCAGATGTTTTTCCGATTTAAAACATGACTTACCCTCTGGTTATGTCAAAATAGCTATTGAAAATGACCATTAATAGTGGATTTTCCCATTACAACTGGTGATTTTCCATAGTTATGTTAGTTTACCAGAGGGTATCATCAGACATGATGATCAGACATGATGATTTCATTGACAAAACTGATTTTGAAGAAGCAACATTGGGGATAAACAAAAACACACACACTTTTATTCCAACAGCACAATTAGGACATTTGAGCGCCAAATCAAGGGCAACACATTTGATTTCGGAGGATCTAAGTAACAAACAATGTTAACATCCAGCACAACAGTTTTTGATTTCACAAAGAGAAACATGATTAATTTGATCATTTTTTACATGTAGGATTTCTTGCAGACCATTTTTTAACTTCCAAATGACAATGTTACACATATTTTTTGGTGAAACATCACTTCATTCAGGGTGGTTTTTCATAGTTGTGGTTGATCCCACCCAAAAAATGGTGGAGGAGTTGGGAAGTTGGGAAGCCTGCAGTACTCAGTTACTCCGCATAGTTCACCACGGAGAGATACTGCTTGGATGTGGCCCCACATATTTCGGATCCGTGGTTTGTAATCCATCATCATCCATCATCATCCATAGTCATCCATCACTTTTCATCCCATCTAATCCAGTGAGGATCTTCCATATTTAACTAAGAGGCATGCACTAATTCAAGCAGGAGCCTCGGTTTCTGAGTTGATTTATTTCAGGCCAGCACATTCGATTCGAGTGGTAGCACAAGGCCCATGAAATCCCATGAACATTATATCTATATCTATATCATTATATATATATGGGTAAATTATAACGACCTCACTGTTCTCCCTCCCTGGAATCATGGTTTATTTCAGGGGAATCATCCCCAAATGGCCGCATATATATATATACATATATATATATATATATGTATATATTTATATTTATATATATTTATATATATTTATATATATTTATATATATTTATATCACATGATTATCCCCTTTCTATCCTGAACATGTGTTGCTCCTTGGGGAAAAAAATCGCCATGATGACCAAGTGGTGTGGTTTCTGGGGCATGACATGCGAGGACTGATCAGGGTCGGATTTTTTTGGGACCTGGTGGAGATGCTGTACATTTTTTCCTGGTTTATCTATGGTTAATCTATGGTTAATCTATCTATGGTTAATCTATGGTTAATAATGGTTAATAATTGGAATAACAATATATCTGATTGGTGGTGACTGGAACCATGGAATTTTATGACTTTCCATTCAATTGGGAATTATAATCCTAACTGACGAACTCATATTTTTCAAAGGGGCCAGGTATACCACCAACCAGTTACGCATTGCATAGACTCATAGGCCTTAGATTAGTACTTCTAATTCAGGATATTCAGGTAAATTGAGGTACCTGAAGTATCCCCTGATATTGGAAACAACCAACAATAATCAGCACATCAAGTAAACGTCAGTTCTGACGATCCAACATCGGTCACACTGCTTCTGATCTTTGAGGTTGAAGATGTTCCAGAATGTGAGAGAATGGTGCGACAGCAAGTGATGGACTGGAGCCATCTCACCGCAGGTCACCGCGGGACTTGCGGTGGATCAAACATATCAAAAGTTGTGCATAAAAGTTAAAGAGCGGAGCTCTTTTTTCCCCTTTAATTTAAGCGCCGGGGCCCCTTGATCTTAAGGTCAATGCCCTGAAGTGCATGAAAAAATGTGCGTCTCACACCGAAAACTCTTGTGTTTCTGGAGCTTCAATGCGATTTTAGAGGCATTTAGAGGCTTCACTTTTGTGCACAGCGCGAGAAGCAAGTCTATCTTTGGGTGCGTAGCTTTGGATCCAACATGCTTTATGACCTGTCCTTGATGCATCGGCTGCATCGGCTTCGACAACATTTTGATGTTTTTCCTCCGAAAAATCAGCACCGACGCGTTGAAAGTGACCCTCACATCTCGCGGCCGGAGCCTACTACCGCAACTGCCAGATACGGAATGAACTTGAATGAAGACATACCCTCTGGTAAACTAACATAGCTATTCAAAAAGGCCCATTTATAGTGGATTTACCCATTGAAAATGGTGATTTTCCATAGTTATGTTAGTTTACCAGAGGGTAGGTCTGTCTAAAAATGGGGTATATCATCCGTAAAATGGCCATAGGGAAAATGATGACAAAAACCAGGGATGGAATGGGGTAGCCCATTGACAAACCCTTAAATGGTCATTGCAAAAGGTCACTGGGAGAGGACGACAAAGCTTTAGCCTTAGTTTCCAACCATATATAGCTATATAATATGATGGTGGTTTCCTGAAATAGGGCTACCCGGCTACCCCCAAATCATCCATTTTCATAGGATTTTCGGATTTCCCCTTATAAACCACTGATTTCGGGGTACCCCCATTCCAGAAAAATCTCATAGCTGGAGAGCCGTGCTTTAAGATGCCTTTCATGTCGTGGCTGCGTTGCGTTCGTTTGAAAAAAAGTGGGATGTCGATGGTATATTTCATGGAAAATCCCCATACAAAATGGATGACTTTTCTGGGAGTACCCCCATGACGAATCGGAAACCTCCATATATATATATTATATACACATATATAATCTATAATAATATATATATATATACATTTTTTTGACCATGGTTCATGTCTCATCAATTCAAATTCATTTGATCAAGGCACCTAGCACTGACTTGCAACTCACTTGCTGAGAACGCCAAGGTGTACTGGGTCAATGGATCTGAGAAAGTTGTGACAATTCGGTGACCTTTTGGGGACCATTTTGCGGTGATGTACCCTGTGTTTCTCTTTATGACACCCACAATGTGAGGCCCCCCAGTTATGTTTGTTGGTTTATAAGACCCAGTAACTAGTTCGTTATAAGTACCATAAACCATAGTTATTGGAGTTATAAACCAACTTAGCTATCTTGGAGGCCTCACAAAGCACATATATATATATATATATTTGTATCAGTGTCATCAAAGATGACGTGTAGAAACAATAAGATATAATTATACAATATTATACAATCTTAATCCGCTTAATCAATCTTATACATGTCAAGGGTATGACTCTTGCGTTTGCTGATTGATACATACATCACTCTTCTATATTCTATGGGGTCATCATTGCTGCGACCCATGGTGTGAACAGAAGGGCACCATGGTTTTGACCCATACCCCATATCTCAATTTTGGGCACACGAAAAAAACATGGGCAACTTATGAGAAATCCGCTTGACCCATGACAACCGGCGCGGTGTGGGATGCTGCTTCCAAGGTCGCAGCTTGGTTTTGACGCATTGCATCGGCTGCCGTGTTGCTGAAATACCGATAAAAAATCCCGAGATGCCGAGAAAATTTAATTTCTTTGTCAGGGATCTAGGGTGATCATCCGGTGAAGCTTAGCTTAACGCAGCAGTCTCTCTCGACGATGCTATTCTTGATTCGAATAGGTTTCTGCCAAGTGCTGACAAAGAATGAAAACGCGTGCTTCAGCCACTACCAGTAAAGACACTGGATGAATCTTGATGATGTATTTGAATGCGGCTAGGACTGTATTACAATTCAAATCAAGTATTGTAACTGGTATTTTTTCATGATTTGTTCATTATCCTAGAATAATATTCCAATGAACATCTGGTGAATTACATCATTGATATTTTCAAAACGGTTTTTTCTTGTGGCTTCGCACCGTTTATATGGGTGCCTATGTTTATCAGGATAGGAGTATGGCCAAGATTCGGAGATTTTAGTCACCCCAAGATGCCGATAGGTTTTGGTCACTCATCCTGACTGGTTTTTGGGTTCAAATGGAAGATCACCATAAATATACGTATATATTAATATATGTATATATAAATAAGTATAAATCTATAAATATATATATATATATTTATTTATGTTTTATTTGTGAACTAGCAAAGATACCCACCACGACTGTGGGCAAGCCAATTTTGTACACTATTGGGATCCAGTGCTAAAAGTGGTGAAGCTCCAACCTGTCTTTTTTTGGGCCAAAGCTCGCTGGAGTTGACATGATTTGACCATTGTATCCATTGTTCAACTCCAGCCTTTGATTTTCATTAAGCATGTCAGCTGGACAGCATTTGGAACATTAGAATACATTAGATGGATAGCAAAAAAAACTACTCAGCCTTTGATTTTCATCTAACAAATCCTAGCTCTTTGAATTTGTTAGCATTTGGACAGCAGAGTAGTGTAGTGCCGCCCAGCGAGCAAGGCAGTTCGACAAAAATCTTCTGGGCGTTGGGTTCTATATGGTTCTGTGGACGGATTTGATGATATGGGTGTGTCCAAAAATGATCAAAAATTGAGTATACCCCCAAAATTGCCAATGTCATAAAATGCTCGGATAAACCATGATAAACCATTGGCATTTTTATGATAAACCATGATAAACCATGATAAACCATGATAAACCATCGGATGATCTGTGTGAAGCAATACAACTTTATTTAAGATCTCTGGCTGCAGCCAATTCGAACCAATCCGAACTTCATATATATATAATACTACATAATATAATATATATATATAAATATATATATATATACACACACCCTTCCTGGGCCAACAAAAAACGATCCCAGACTTGGCTTCAGGATGTATCCTGGGCTGACTCGACTCGACTTCCGTCGCCGGTCCAAGGTGTCGCCGGTCCGGCTTAATTCGAAACGGAGCCGATTTTCGGTGCTGGATTGAGATCATGGACCATTGGATGAGGTTCATAGATGATTATAGTAGATATATATGATGGGTATGGAAAACCATAGGGCGAACTATCTGATTTTATATATATATAACAATGTGTATGTATCTATAAAATATGTATGTATATATTTATATATGTGATATATGTAGATATATCAGAATAGTTGAGGTTATAAACCGAGTTTAAGATAAACCAATCGATATAAAGCAAGCTATCACCAGGGAGTCCCTTCCTGTTGGGTGTAGCTCCTCGACCCTATAAACAAGTGCTTCGAACCAAGCAATAAATGAGCTTAGAGAACAAACATCAGATTGGATGCCTTTCCAGTTACCCTCTGGTAAATTCACATAGACCCTGAAAATAACCCATGTTTAGTGGACACTAATCTTCCAACCCCTATCTATTAGGGTCTATGTTAATTTACTGGAGGGTATTCTTGTTGCAGCTCCACCTTTGTTGTACCATGTGCCACCTGTGCTGTGCTTGACGGTGCCATGAAGTGTGGACGCCGTGGATTCAGCTTCATATGGACGTTGCTGGCTTCGCATTTGGATCGATGGAAACTCAGAAAGTCTGAAACCTTTATACAATGGTGGAAAAGCAAACAAAAAGCAACATAGCACATTGACTTAATATGACTTCATTCGATTTTTTGAATCTTAATTCATCTTAATTTTATATCATTTGGATAATCTTTTTTTTTAAAGCTTAATCTTGTATAATTTGGATCCTTGGGAAAATGAAGAACCAAGGTATATAGTATACAGTAACCAAAAGATCCATTAATGGATCCATTTATGGTACAAGTTGCCTACATAATAATGGATGCCGAAAAAGGTATGTTTGGATCCTTATTAATATATTATATATATTAATGGTATCCTTATTAATGGTATAAATAATGGATCCTTACCAAACGTTGCCGAACAACGCCATCAAAGTGGACCCAAACTGGGGGATGTTTCGCTTGGAAACGCCGAACAAAAAGTGGCTGAAGTGGTTGGTTTATGGATGGTAGACTGGTAGACTGGTGCTTTCAAATAATGGTTAATCCATGGTTAATCTATGGTTAATCTATGGTTAATCTATGGTTAATCTATGGTTAATCTATGGTTACTCTATGGTTAATCTATGGTTAATCTATGGTTAATCTATGGTTAATCTATGGTTAATCTATGGTTAATCTATGGTTAATCTATGGTTAATCTATGGTTAATCTATGGTTAATCTATGGTTAATCTATGGTTAATAATGGTTAATAATTGGAATAACAATATATTTGGTTGGTGCTTTCATGAATGAATAATCCTTCCCACCAGTCTGCCATGAATAATCCACCAGGCACTTTGATTCGCCGCCATATATATATATATATATATATATACTGGTTGGTGGTTTGAAACATGAATTTGATTTTCCATTTCATAGATGGGATGGAATAATCCTTCCCGTTGACGAACTCCATCATTTTTCAAGATGGTTAAAACCACCAACCAGTAGATACTGTATAACGAATCATATTCATGGGGTGAATAACTAAACCATACTAAACCAACATTCACATCACGGCAGCAACGTTCACATCTCAGGTAGGATAATATTATAATAATATATTGTGTTGAATGACATCATGGTTACCCTCTGGTAAACGTTGATATAACGAACTGGAAAATCACCATTTCTAATGGGTAAATCAACTATTTAAATGGCCATTGTCAATAGCTTTTTGTATGTTTACCAGGCCGGGTATCACCAACAAAAGCCATAGTGAAATTGGACTAATTGGCACCAACCAATCGCCAACATAAATCAGCTATAAATCCCATGAAAGCCACATTTTCCATCCGGCTTTACCAGGCCGGGTCATGCCATCACTAAACCATCCGAAGACTTCGGTGCCGGGTGGAACGGGGAGACCGAGGCTTTCACTCCATGTGTCAGCGCTGAAGGTGGGGATTTCCCTATCCCAGAAGCTCGGCAGCCGCGGGATGTCGCGGGATGTCATGGGATGGACCGGAAAATCATGGGAAAATGATGGGAAAATCATGGGAAAATCATGGGAAAATGGGTGAGTAGAAATAATTGTCAGCTTGGACTAGAACTAATTGAACTAATTCAAGAATAATTGTCAGCCACAGATGGGATGCAATTTCAGCGGCTATTCTATGATGATGTATGATGTATATAGGTTGTCAACCACAGAAACAGATCGAATCTTGGGATATGGAGGTGTCCGATTCGTCATGGTGGTACCCCACACTCATCGAGTCGTCATCAATGACCATGACTTATTGGAGCATGGTGACAACTGGGGATCCATGACTTAAGAAACCAGCCATTATGTTCAAGCCATACTGTGGATGGGCCAGCAAAAGCCTGCACCAGTTGGTAGATGGTATAAACATCCCATCATTTTGTTGGGGTTTCAACCATCCTCTTGCTGGAAACACTGTAAATTTAAAGGATGTTTTTGGGGATAAACGGGATGTTTACCTTCTACCAAGTGGTGCACGACTTCTTCTTCCATCCACAGTAGTTATATCAATGGCCATTTCAGGATCCTAAATTGGAGGTACCTAGCATATATAAGGCCTATGTAAGGCCTATGTAAGGGGATATCCCAACAAAATATGGCCTTATATGGTACAGTACCTCCATTTTAGGATCCTGGAATTCCCATTGACTATAAGAAATCCACCAATTTACTGATCGACTATTCACAGCACCCCCAAGAGATCGAACATCTTGGGATATCTTGGGATATGCCTACCCCTTTCGACAGTAGGCAAACGTGGAAAACTTAAGGTGAAATAGCCTATCAATCTTGCTTTGAATCATATATTATAACATTTTTTTTGATTACCACTTGTAAATCACATTAATGTATATATTTATATACTACATATATATATATATATATATATGTATAATACCATATATATATTATTATATGTATATATATATATATATATGTATATAGTATATATAATACTATATACACTATACATATATATATATATACTATATATACATATGATGTAACCTGGCACTTGGAAATTCATCAGCAATTTTTCTCTTTGAACGCAACGAGGACGGGATTTCTCCGCAACATGGTGGGCTTCGTGGAGGAGCTCCCGGCCACTGGGCCCACTGGGTGCTGGGCGCCGAGTTACGGGAACGTTGGGGACGGGACGTCCCGAAAGCCATGGGAAAAAATGGGAGATACATGGGAACATATGGGACCATATGGGAAGATAGGGGCAACTCATGTAAACTCAGAAGAATGTGGATATGGGAAAATCAGGGAACATCCCTTTTTGAAAATGGGGAAATGATGGTTCCAAAGATGCTCAAAATCATGTCCAAAGATGGGACACTGGGACACTCCAAAAATATGGTGATGGGTCAACATTTAAGCCCTATGGAAACCATAGATTCTAGTATACCCATAGGATCCATGGTGCTGGTATATATGCTAACATTAGGGGGTATATTGATGGTACATGTTACCATATATAGCATACATGGATCCTATGGGATATACATTTCGTTTTCACCATCGAATTCTTGGGGTACCCAATTTTGACCTACACCCATCTGGGAAATCCCTTGTAAGTATGGGAAAACATTGGAACATCGGAAAATCAGGGCAAATCCCCGAACTAAATGGAGGTTTGAATGGGTACTGACCAGTAGGTACGCTGATTGGAGCAACTGTTTGATGCTTGAATCGGGTGGTTAAAAATGTTCAAATCTCAAACATGCATAAATTAAGATACTAAGGCAATCATGTCCATGGAATTCCCTGCAAAACTGTGGAATGTTGTTTATACAATTTTTGTCAGTATCCCTATCATTAAGCTAATTGTTACACAGCAATATTCTTTTTTTGCGTCTTCACCATTGCGTCATGCAGAAAGATGATCCTTTTGAAAGGATTTTGAATGATATGAATGTACGTGATGTTTGTACACCTCTATATACCCTCTGGTAAACTAACATGACTATGGAAAATCACCATTTTCAGTGGGTGAATCCACTATAAATGACCATTTTCAATAGCTATGTTAAATTACCAGAGGGTAACTGTGATGGTTACAGCTCTAATTGAACATCCACGAAACCATTGCTACAATGGGCTGGATGTTTGCATGCAGGCAATGCTAGGACATTGCAACGCAACTTGATGATGCGCAGCCTTGTGCGTTGGATAGCATCGCTTTTTTAGAGGTGACATCCCTCAAACTTTGCGAGTGAAATCGCAATGTTTACTCGTGCAATTCCTATTTTAGTGTATTTTAGTGATGAAAACCCATATGTAGACATAATATGTAAATATAATATGTAGCTATAATATGTATGTGTGTACATCATGTTTACTGCTGAAATCCCCCTGTTCACTGTTGAAATTCCCAGCGCCGAGGAATATGCAAGAGCTTCCTATGTGAATCAAAGTGTGGACGAACAACTCCTGGAGCCAAAGCGGCACCATCCAAAAACCCAGGCTTTGGAGATGGTTTAGAGATGTACTAAGTACCCTCTTGTAATGGAAACCCGGCCTGGTAAACATACAAAAAGCTATTGAACATGGCTATTTATAGTTGATTTGCCTCTTAGAAATGGTGATTTTCCATAGTTAACTTGGTTTACCAGAGGGTAACATAAATACTAAGTAGTATGAAAAACACTATTTTAGATAGGTACTGTAAATTAAATGATCATGTTCATCATCTATAAACGGGCCATTGTCCATAACTATGTTAAATAGCTAGAGGGTATTTAAGTTGTTTTGTGCATGTATTTTTGTGAGTTTCTGGATGTGGTTAGCAGCATATTTTGTTTGTTTCCTGTGCAGATGTTTTGCCGCAACAACATAAACATTAAACTTGAGATCCAAAACCAGCAATCATCTGGATGAAAATTTTGTTTCACCCAAGTTGGTTATTCTGAGCAAATTGGTTTAATTTGCAATGCATTGTGACATTGTGGATACCTGCATTAGGGTTTTTCCCCATGAGTCAAACTTGATTTTTTCCCCAATTTCGACTGGCAAATGGTTTCCAAGGGTCCATCGTGTTTGTAGTTCAAGGCCACGCCGATGTATAGAGATATATACAGTTATATATATATGATATGTATAATATAAAAATCTCGATATATATATATACACATTATATGTATATATATATAACTGTATATATAACGGTATATATATAACTGTATATATATATATATAACTGTATATATATATAACTGTATATATATATAACTGTGTATATATATATATATATAACTGGGGATACTAAACGTACAGGGGGTATGGCATATGGCTATTCCCCACACAACAGCCGGCATGCGCGCCCAACTAAGTATTCACTAGCCACGCACATCCTAAATTCATTCCTTTATTTGGAGCATGATCGGCGATAGGAATGAGGAAGGGCCCCGCCCAGTTATAATTTTGTTGCAAGTCCAGCTAAGTACGCATAGATATATCCATCCTAAATCCAAAATGTCGCCTAGTAAGAAGCCAACTTTCGACACGGTGACCCCTCTTTTTTTCAGAGTCAGTTGACAATTTTAGAAAGGACCCACGGTTTGTCAGAGATCTGGGGATGGGATGAACATATCAGTAACTCTTCCCAGGCTCTACCCGGCCTGGTAAACATACAAAAAGCTATTGAAAATGACCATAGAAATAGTGGATTTTCCCATTGAACATGGTGATTTCCACACCAGGCAACTGATAGTAGTTGAGACAATCCCAGTTGATACTCATCTGATAAGCGAAAAAATGATTACAACTGGCAAGTTCTTGAACATCTAGAAAAACACTCCCCATTTACATCCATTTACATGGCACATGTCATCCTGATTTATGGTTCATCGTCCTCATTTGTGGTAAATGCCGACATTCGTTTATATCTCCCACATACTCCCTCTATGGAACATTTACTAACATGTCCCTGCAGAATTGCACACATGTACGAAATTGTGTACAGGTTTGATAGCACTTAAGTTGCTTAAATCATTTCCTGGTTGGTGGTTTGGCACATTTTTTATTTTTCCATTCAGTTGGGAATGTCATCATCCCAACTGACGAACTCCATCATTTTTCAGAGGGGTAGGTCAACCACAAACCAGTATAAATCATGTTAAATCCCAATTTTTGATATTAAGACACAAAGGTTTGTCAGTTTTTAGCGCCAACATTTTGACCAATAAACAATTTCCCAATTTTTGATGTTGAATCATAGTCATAAAACTCCCAATTTCCTACAAGCTGGGGACCATGGTTTACAATTGCGATTAGTTGGTAAACTATGGTTTATGGTAGATATGTCTGGAAACACTTAGGTATTATCATTCCAGACCCCACTTCAGACCCTAGATCCAGGGTCTACAATGAACTTTCCTAGGGTCTGGGGATAGTAGTTGAGAGGATAGATATAACTGATATAACATGATCTAACTATAGCTACAATGGGTGGCCCCACCAACAAACGTTTAACGTTGCCCCAGGGGGCCCCAAGGGGGCCCAACGGGCGTCGAGAGAGCCCCGAGGAGTGGCCGTGCTTTTGGTGCCAACGTGTGGTTGAGACGTTGATGGTGTGGCAGCGGCGAGCGACGGCCCGCGGTTCGGTGGGGGGTCGACCAATAAATGGCGATTTCCTTCGGAAAAAACGACCAAAAGCCTCGAAAATACTATATACCATAATAATAACATTAATAATGGTAGTATAGGGATTATAACATACCATGATATATAGGGATACTAACCATTATAATCTAGATTCTACCATTACTGGTTGGTGGTTTGGAAGTTTTTTTTATTTTTCCAGAAATATTGGACTGTCATATTTTTCAGAGGGGTGGCTCAACCACCAACCAGCTATCCATATGGGTTGGTTTTTCCGTTGCCTCATCGAAGCCTCATCCGTAGGGAAAGTCTACCGGTGACTGGGACTGGTGAATGGAGTCTTGTATAATGCGCGAAAAATCTTATTTCTGGAAGGATGTTTCATATCCCCCTGTTGGGATGCATCCTAATTAGAAAATTGTTGGTCAATCAATCATGAATCTAAGTGGGGTATATCATGGTATATCCCACATATAACTCGAATATCATATGCTTATTACTAATAAGTTATTACCAATTTTCCGGGGACGCACATCAAGCAGAAATTTACTTTGTTTGAAAGGTCGTTTTTTTTTTTTTTGACCAAGGCTTTGACCACACACTTGTGCCAGCTGATTTTGATGTGAAATGAACCATTCTGTGACATTGGTTTGTCATTCTAGCAACCCCACGACAAATAGAAAAGTCAAATCCTAATAAGATAGTGATGAGGAATCACTTTTCCGTCTTTTTGCTGCTTACTACAATGGTTCAATGGCATCCTCAATCAGAAAAAGTAGAACTGTTCCAATTCGAAAAAGAATCAGCTACTTCCTTAAACATCTTAAACTGCGCAGTTGTCAAATGGCAGTGTGTCAAAACCTTGTACCCCTTTGTTCACATCAAAATAGCTGGTAAATGGATGTTCATCCCACTAAAAATGATATTAATAGGTATTGATCCATCCCCAAATCATCCCACATGATTTTTCCGCGATGTTTTCGGCATTTTTTTTTTTGGTGTCAAGGACCTCCAGTTGGAGTTCACCATCATGGATGATGGAGGAAACTTCTCCAGGCGGGATCCATCGGTCGGAGCAAAAAAAGATCGGTATTTAATATGGATCTATATTTAACTAGTTTAGTAGTGGTTAGTAGTGGTTAGTAATGGTTAGTAGTGGTTAGTAGTGGTTAGTAGTGGTTAGTAGTGGTTTGTAATGGTTTGTAGTGGTTAGTAGTGGTTAGTAGTGGTTAGTAGTGGTTAGTAGTGGTTTGTAATGGTTAGTAGTGGTTAGTAGTGGTTAGTAGTGGTTAGTAGTGGTTAGTAGTGGTTAGTAGTGGTTAGTAGTGGTTAGTAGTGGTTAGTAGTGGTTAGTAGTAGTGGTTAGTAGTGGTTAGTAGTGGTTAGTAGTGGTTAGTAGTGGTTAGTAGTGGTTAGTAGTGGTTTGTAATGGTTAGTAGTGGTTAGTAGTGGTTAGTAGTGGTTTGTAATGGTTAGTAGTGGTTAGTAGTGGTTAGTAGTGGTTAGTAGTGGTTAGTAGTGGTTAGTAGTGGTTAGTAGTGGTTAGTAGTGGTTAGTAGTGGTTTGTTATGGTTAGTAGTGGTTAGTAGTGGTTAGTAGTGGTTAGTAGTGGTTAGTAGTGGTTAGTAGCGGTTAGTAGTGGTTAGTAGTGGTTAGTAATGGTTAGTAATGGTGACTTTTCATGGGATCTTTCATGGGATTTACTGGGATATATACCCTCTGGTAATTTCTTACAGTTTGCTATTGAAAATGGCCGTTGATAGTTGATGATCTACCCAGCTATAAAATGGTGGATCTTTCCATAGTTATGTTAGTTTACCGGAAGGTAATATGGATATTATGTTATTATGTCATATGGGGTAGCATATATACTACCATATATTTATATATATGTATATATATATATATGTATATATATATATACATATTACCATATGGTTATTGAGGTTTCCATGTATATTATATGACCATATGGGGTACCCCAAGTTATCATCAATTTTCATGGATTTTTCCATTATACAACATCCATTTGGGGGTACCACCATTTCAGGAAACCTTCATTGTTTTTCCATTATCAACCAATTTAAGCAGCTATTTTATAAAGCCTCGGGTACCAGCAATTGCATAAATCGAACATTAGACAACATTAGGTACTAACACCAATGTTGTCTTGGGGGTACCCCATTTTAGGAACCCCCAGATTGGCCACCGAAAAAAACAAAAAAAATGTTTCATAAATCTGGGTAAATTTCATCACGACCTCACTGTTCTCCCTCACTGGAAATCATGGTTTGTTTTAGGGACATTATCCCCAAATGACCGAACTATTCAGGTTAGTGAAATATTATAATTTACCCAGATACCATAACAACATTGATAATGGTAGTATAGGGATTATAAAATACCATGATATAGGGATACTAATTTTTATAATCTAGATTCTACCATTACTGGTTGGTGCTTTGGAACGTTTTTTTTATTTTCCAGAAAATACAATGGACACGCACCATTCATCCCAACTCCTTTGGAGTGACTTAGTGGCTTACTTGTTTGCCAAACGGCTACATGTTTCTATGTTTTTTCTTGCTGGCTACATACTTTCTGGTAATTTGTTACATAGCTATTCAAAATTGCCATTTATATATATATATATATGGATTTTCCCATTAAAAATGGTGATTTTCAATAGCTATGTAACAAATTACCAGAGGGTAAGTCTGGCTAGCAAAGCTGGCGAACGGCCATCCTGGCACTGAAAAAGTCAGTCAGCCCTTACTGATTTTTTCACGAAAAAGTTTGCATTCCATCCCCCAAAATCTGTAGCGTGTTTTTTTCTAAGCAGTTGTCGCAAACAACATCTCTTTCAGACTTGAAGGGTGATTGTGCAGCTAGTGTGAGTGATTTTCATGCATTTTGATGAGCTATGGTACTTGACCATCAATGAATCAATGGCTTCATAGGAGAACAGCAAATCAGTATAATGCCATGGTTTCAAACATGATACTTGATGGTTTCCCAATAAGTGATACTTGATGATTTGATGCCACTTGTTAGTAGTTTTCATTATATGATACTTGTCCGTGGTTTCAAACATGATAACTACGTTTCCTTCGGATGCAGTGAAATTGGAATAAAATGTCATTCTTTATTTTATCCCTAGCTGGGATGATGATGTTCTCCAATGAGTATTTTTTTTTGAGGAAACCATATTATTGTATATAGAATATGATAAACTATTATAAGCATGCCTAGAATTATTCCCGGAATTGTTTGAAAGAGAACAGAACCTATGCGTTTCAACCCTAGATTTTCCCACCAAACTCAACCCATACAACAAAAGCTGACCGGTGAAATTAAACTTGGATGGTCAACATGGCCCAACTACCCTCTGGTAAACGTTTACATAGCGAAGTGGAAAATCACCATCTTTAAGTTCGGTAAATCAACAAACTCAATGGGCCATTTTTAATTGAATTTTTCTTAAATCGATGATTTCTAATAGATGACTTATAGATCAACTATAAGTGCTCCATGTTTAATAGCTTTTTGTATGTTTACAAATGCTCAAAAAATGATCGGTCCCGTGATCGGTTTTTGTTGATCCAGGGATCCAGGGCGACTGAGTCCGTGAGACAAAAGGAAGGTTTTTTTTATAGCCAGGACATTTTCGCAGCGTAGCTTGAAGCTTCCATGGGAATTTTTGGTCATCAGAAGTTCTTGTGAATTTTTGGTCCAGGATCGTTCCAGGATCGATAAGACCTGGCCGGGCCGTTGATTTTAAAAACGGATATTCGTTTGAAGCTCGTAATGTATATTTTTGAAGCCTGGATCATATTAGCCAGTCATATTATATATAGAGTAATTTAATAGTATATGATGGTTTCACTTTTGTAGTTTATTACAGCATGGAAGGTTCGTTTCACCTTCCATGTCATAGCAACTCCGATACGTGAAGACCAACCAAAATCCTCAGTTTGATTGTTTCGCTTCTTCTCTGTCACATAGAGAGAACAGTGTATCAGTTATATCATCTGTATATGTAACCAATATGAGGGGGTAATATCTGGCCATGGGGGTACCAAATGGATATAAATGGATGACTGGGTGTAGCCCTATGACTTAGGAAACCTCCATATTAGAGTATTCTGTGGATCTTAGTGGTGACCAGTGCAAGCATCTGCATGAGCAGCTTGGAGTCGCTTGCAGTTCCGCTGAGTGAGTATATGTCGCCACAGTTAGGGGCTTTACATCTCAACTTCTGACGGGTATTTTTTCACCATCACCCCAGTTCTTCAAAGTCGTATATACATATATCATTTGTTTTGCTAAACCGGGTTTATTTGTTGGTTAATTAATTCCAAATGCTTGGTGGAGGAAAAAGATGATACATAACTATCATTCGGGACTCACAGTGTATTAGTCCTCACTACTTGGTGTTCCATAGGAAGTGGTTTATAACAGTTTATAACCCAGCTATACAGTAAGTAGGGTAAGATTAAGATATCCATTCATTGCCCCAATTGTTCAAAGTCATCCTCCAATTTTCTTATTAAACCTTTTTGGTTTATTGGTGAGCTCATGTTTTTTGGTGGTGAGTTGGTTTCAATCTCCATCAAATGATGGTGAAGTTGGTCAGTTTTGACGGTGAAGTCCCATTTTTCTTTTGCGAAAATCCACCTTAAATCATCAATTTGAGTAAGATTAGGATAAATTCATCCAACTTACTAATAATCCAACATGGTTTTATAATCTCAATCTTACTCTTCATTGAATTTAATCCAATAATCAACATGGTTTTATAATTCATTAAATCACATGAAAAATCATCAACTTGCTAAAATTCACCATGACATTTTCACCATCCAGCGGGGATCCCATCTGTGCGTCCAGGGCGATGGAGAACTATGCTGTGATGACAGCAGATCCATCTGTGGATCTGCTGTTTGGGCCTTGCTTGGGCACTTGGAACGTGACTCGGTGAGGAGGAGGGAAATTACCCGTGACAGATCATTTTTTTTGGCCCAACTCGCGATGTGACATTATTTTTTATGGGTTTATTAACTACGATAACCAACTAGTTATAGATAGTTATAGGAGATGTCGTTCATTCCATAAAAATAACAGTTACTTGGGCCATAACTGGAGGATTCCAGCCGGGGTACCCCCAGTTGTCAGTCGTCGATGTCAAGCTCCTGATGGAGGCAATCATCCCCAAGGCTCTCACTTCGAAACGGGCCGAACCATTCAGGTTAGTGGCATATTACTAAATTTACCCAGATAAATGTTGAATCAATCAAGAAAAATCTATAGAGGGTACGAAGCCAATTACTAGGAATGATATCCCACTGTTATCTTAGTAGTTCCATTATATCCCCATGTTTGTTAGAACTTAAACCAACCAACCATTTTCATGAAACTAACAACAAGACTCCACCAGAAAGCCACCGAAAAGCCGCACCTGTTTTGAGGCGTACGCAGCGAATGTGGTTACTGCCGGCAACAAGGTCTTGGTGCAGTGGCTACTCGGGCACAGATTTCATCAGATTTCTCAGGGATTCAACCGACCATAAATCTGGGTCCTTGGTTACATACTTTAGTACTTGTAGTACTTGAATCTTTTGCTATCAGTGGTAAAATGATGCAATGGGTGTACTACAGTAACCAGTTAAAACATGTTTTCTTTTGCCAGCTATCTAAGATTCACCAAACAATGGTGATTTAGGCCGTGTTATGGTGGATTAGGGGTATAAAGCCTTCGAGAAATAGTGGGATACAATGAGATATTCTTCGCCACTTTGATGACCACCCAAGAATATATGCTGAGTACACGTCACGCTTGTTGTGGTTGCTCGTGAGCAATAAGCCCTCAATAAGCACTCTTTATTTGGGGGCGTCACCATTGGGGTTGCATCCACAGTGTTAGCTTATGGCAATGTGGAGCCCCCGGCAGCGTTTGGTGATCAGACGTGGCAATGGGAGCCCTGGAAATGGAGTTGTCAATTGAACACACGTGCCTACACATGTAGACATAACCATTGCCATGCTTGATGATCAGTGGGTAGATATGGGGGTGGGTCAAAACCTATTACTATCAATTTTAGTGGGATGAACATCCATAAATCCCAGCTATTTTGATGTGAACAGAAGGGGTACAAGGTTTTGACACACTGCCATATATCTGCAGTAAAAACCCTATTTAGTCCAGCCATAAATCAACTTAGCTAACGAACTGGGGCACCTCCCTGTGGTTTTGCATGGGAGCGATGGGACATGATGGGACTTACGCCCAGAACTGTCCATGGGGTGTTGATGGCTTCTGTCTCTCAAGATTCTAAAAAGGACATTTTGAAATGGGTATGGGTCAATACCTATAGATACATTTTAGTGGGTTATTCACATCCATAAATCCCAGCTATGACTTGGGGTTCACGAATGGTACAGGGGTTTTGACCCATCCTTCAGAACCACCTCTTCACACTTTTTATTTACATCCAAGTCATCCAAGTTTCAATGTTTTGGATTGTTTTGGGTTCTTGATTGATTCATCACCAAGCACGGAAATGGAGCGAAGATACATGCTCCTCTGGAAGCCTTCGATGGAAAGAGGTGAATCAATCGCTGCAACCAACTGGAGCAACTGGACATCACCATTTTTGGTGATGCGAAGAAGAGCGTTATCGAACATAGGCAGCTGCTGGGGGGTATCCTTTGGTAATCAAATATGGCTGGAACAGTAACATCCACCATTTTTTGTTCGAAGATTTTCTCAGCTATAAATTGAAGTAAACCTCCATGGCTAGATGATTTTCCAGCCACTTTTGCTCTCCATTCTTCGTTTTAGTTCCGGCAATTCTAAAAAGCACCAAACGAAAAGCGCGACGCGCTGGTCGTTGGTTGTACGGGTCCTCTTTGTGGTCTGCAAGACGGGCGCCAGGTCATTAGCCAAGTTGACGCACAGTTCACTAGGTTAAATATATATATATATATATAATATATATAGGGGATATGGGAGTTTCCATAACCCATAGGATCCATGTATGGTATATATGGTAACATTTGGGGTATATTAATGGTAAATGTTACCATATATATATATATATGGCATATATGGATCCTATGGGAAATGGGGGTATCCAAAAATGGCTGGTTTGGAAAATGCCATCTATAAATGTATGAGAACTGGGGGTAGCCCACTCAGGAAAGCACCCAGGTTTTGCCAAGAACGGGGGCCATGCTTGGGGATCACCTGGGGATCCACATACAAGAAAATGTCACAAGAAAAATTACCCACAACCAGTGTATGGCTGCAAGTTTCTTGTACATATCGTTCATATGAACACAATAAGATTCATATGAACACAATATGAATATGTTCATATGATTTGCGTAGTTGTTTCTTTCTAGCATCTTGCTTTGAGTACGAATTTCAATCTGTCTATGCCCACGTTATTTGTATTCCAATAATGCTGTCATGGGATTAATAACTCTCCCTTTGAAATCACCCCAGAAACAAACGGGTATCGAAATACATCAGCAGCAGTTTTTAGTATTGCCGAACATAAATAGCCTAATTGGAAACAAATGCATGTGTGTAACAAACTGAATTGCCTAATTGAAAACAAATACTGCTGAGCTAATTGCTAAATTGAAAACGAAGACGAATACCAGAAAGTCCAACCAAAAAAAAGGCCAGCAATCACCTACAGGGGTGGCATACTTTATTCTCGGGGGGGTGATTGTTACCTCCAGCGAAGTAGTTGGCTTACTTTACTTAAAAGGGTTTAGCGAAATCCCTTACATACTTTAAGAATGTATCGATAATCTTCAACAAAAAAGTTTTGGGCTATGCACACATGCATATTTATACAGTATACTATAGTTTGGTATATATATATAACTATATATACATTGTATGTATACATGTACGAAATACATTACGCTACATTCCATTACGTCATTACACTATATCTTATTGTGTCATCAAACTACATTCAACTACACATTTCTTTACATTGCAGACACAATAAGATTCATATGAACACATACATCCTTCTATGTTCACATACTTATCGTTTCAGCTTTCAGTATGGGTCAAACTTGGAGTACTCTAAAAAATTGCATGGTCAAGAACACATATATCTGTGGCATGTTCCATAAGAAATTCTGCTCCATAAACACCATATAACTCCACACCATTACACCCCTGAAAAAAATGTGCTTCTACATCCCCTATGAATCGACCATTTGACCATGACACAGATCTATCAATTTCTTGTATATATATATATATATTTGCCATGAAGCCATGCATTAACCTAGCAAATTTATGCAAATTTGTTCCGAGCCCACCTATGGACCTATGGTGTCGGGCATGGACATCCTTCCATTGTAGGGATATTCCCTGAAATTTGGCCCTGAAATTTAGGCCTTATATTAATGGTAGGTATGGTAGGTACATAGGTACCTCCATTCTATTCATCTACATTATACACTAGTCTATCCATGACTCATGGGATGTTTTGACTCTAAATCCCATCATATCCCAGCAATATCAAGTCATTATGTACTATATCTCCCTTTATAGTCAGTATATATGTATACATGTATATATATATATATATAATCCGTACATTGTCGTTTTACATTTTCCTGATTCTAGCATTTCTAGGGCATTACACCCCATTGAACCTCATTCCTTCCCATTAAAAATCCGAGGAAATACGATCACATCCCATTAACCCCTATTAAATTTCATTAAATCCCATGAAATTCAGTATCTATACACATATGCCATATGCAATATCCATCCACGCCACCTTCAAACAATTCCCTAGGTCCATCACCTACCAACGCTACATGGGAGGATACAGGAGAGTGGGTAACCAGCCTGAGGTAGCGATGACTCAGCAGGGATATGGTGAACATTGGATAATTTCACCCAATCGGATTGTGTTCAAAATTTATGTTGGTTGATGATTAGTTCGGGGCTAACAAACTACCCAATATTATGCATGGGGATTATTTCATCATCCAAGACCAATCCCAAAAATCACCAACCAAGATTAAAATGGAATGACATTTCGGGGTGATTTTTTTCACATTCACCGGATATATCTTTTGAGACAGGGATTGACTTGACGGCACCGAGTCAACTCTAAGGGATTATCCCAACTAGACACGGAAGGTGAGTTTCTGGTTTTGTTCTGATTTTTATTGGGAGACGGAGCAATCAGCGAATCAGTCAGTGCAGGGTTTTTCAAAAAGATCAGTCAGTCACCATAAAAACAGTTCAACTATGTTCAACTGAAGTCTACCGCTTTTCGGACGTGCTGCACATTTGATTCCTTGCAAGACCGTGCCACAATTGCAATGTGAGGCCCCCAAGATAGCTAAGTTGGTTTATAACTCCAATAACTATGGTTTATGGTACTTATAACGAACTAGTTACTGGGGCGTATAAACCAACTTATAACTGGGGGGCATCACATTGTGGGAGACTGCTGATGATGGCTGCAGCAGCTGTGGGCATCTGATGTTGAGTTGTTCGGCTCACCGTGGACGTGCGGCGCTGGAGCTGGTGGAGCTAGGAGAAGCTGTTGACCGCAAGGAACAGAAGTGGCTTCATGCGAGGTATCCTCTGGTAATTTGTTACATAATTTACATAGCGAACTGGAACATGGCCCATTTAGAAATCGTTGATTTACCGAACTTAAAGATGGTGGTATTTTCCACTTCGCTATGTAAACGTTTGCCAGAGGCTATACAGATTGATGTGCTGAGTCGGTGATGAAGGCATTTTCCCATGGGGAAATCCATTGGGACATCTATAGTGTTGCACTTGGGGAAGATGGGAAGGGGGTTCCGAAAAAGCAAATCCATAGTTACCCTCTGGTTATGACTAACATAACCGTGGTATAGATGGCCCTAATCGAAATAGATGCTTTACCGTTCTAAAAAAAATGGTGGATCTTTCCATGGCAAACTGTGAATGTCATAACCAGATGGTAACAGGGATCACCAGGACTGCGGCATCTCTAGGGAGCCCGTTTTGCCCGTTTTATGGTAAGGCGTCCAAAACCATACCACTGGGTAAATTATAACGACCTCACTGCGACCTCACTGGGAATCATGGTTAGTAAGGGGAATCATCCCGAACTAGCCTTAATTCCGGTTAGTGAAATATTATAATGTACCCAGATACCAGTCATCCCTGGATTGGACGGGATGAAAATGGATGAAACATGGAAGTTATATACGGCTTTTAAACCACGGATCCTAAGTGGGATGCACCTCTAACTTGGCACCCGAAAATACCAAGCTGAAAGATTTGGTCAACAAAACTTGGCCAGCCATCGGATATGACACTGCATCTCCACTTTGGTAAACCAGCATGCTGCTGCCTGAACCTCATCAGTCTATAACTATATATATATATATACAGTCTTTTTATGTGTATGAAGGAATAATGTATATATATATATATATGTATATATATATATACACATTATATATATATATACAATAACAACCATTTTTTCAAAAACAATATCTTTTAATAGTGTTTATCGCAGCAGGTCCTGAGATCCATGATTGTTTCATGTTGAACTCCCTTCGCAAAATGACTATCAAATAAGCGGGTGGTTTTTCCATGTAGTTTTGCTACTGTATTTTTTGTCGTTACAGACGATCAACCTTGACTTGCAGAAGATGATTTCTTATCTGGTTGGTGGTTTCAAACATGAACTGTATTGTCCATTTCATTTAGTTGGATGTCATCCTTACCAACTGACTTTCACTCCATCATTTTTCAAGATGGTTATTGCCATTGCACCAGCAACTAGTTATGATATCAACCATCATTAACCATATTAATCATTAATATCAACCATTATTAACAGTATATTAACCACATTTAAATACCTATTATCCAGATGTTCGTGTGAAACTTCTTCAAGCGGGCTCGTCTTGGATCAGGTGTCAAATTGGCACAAGCGATCCCATGATTCACCTACGATGAAGTCCATGTTCAGAGACCCCAGGGAAAACTCATATGAAAAACACTTACCCTCTGGTAAATTAACATATACCCTGAAAATAGCCTAGTTTTAATGGAAACTAATCTTCCAACCCTTATCTGCCAGGGTCTATGTTAATTTACCAGAGGGTAAAATCCATTGGATAATGAGTTTTAACATCTGTGTTTATAAAACTATTAGATATACCAGAAAAAATATGTAGAATCCCATAAAAAAAGAACAATTCTGGTGAAGAACAAATCGCACACCGGGCACAGGACAGAAGTTTGTCCTTACTGCAACTACAAGTGGTTTCGCGAAACCGATTGGGTCGACTCGCAGACTCTTGGCGTGTTGCAACAGATTCATAGCATGGGGATTCAACCCACAAATTGATGGGAAATTCTAGTTGATTTATGATTAACCGATGGTTATCATATATATAAATATGTAGATTAAGACCTAGTTGATTTATACAATTAACTCTCAATCTATGGGAAATATACCTACAATAAACCAATTTCAACCAAAGTTGGTTTCCAACTAGATCAACTTTGGTTTATTGTAGGTTTATTCATAGTTTGATGGGCTCATCTGTCACCAACTTATAGCAGGTGGGGCGATGTTGTACGCAACATGAGTCAAGTGATCAAGTAGCCTGAAATGAAATGGATTTGTCAATCCTGCCTGAAATGACTTGGGATGGAGAAAATCACCAAAAAGTAAAGGCATGTTTTTTTTTTTGGGTATATCGGTATATCACATATCCTGTCAAACCCTGCCGATGTGGGAGGAAGCAAACGCAGAACAGAGATGGCAATTGTTCCAGCTTGCTTTATCCCGTGGATTTCAATGGATTGGTTGAAGGGAAAATCCCTAACTTTTTCGTTTGTTCCTGCATTTTTCCCTTGAACCATGTCTGGGTTGGAATATCCTGAATCAGTTCATAGGCCGACACACAGCATGGACATTTTTCAACAGAAATCTCCATGGAAGCACCACAGTCAGGATCTAGCCGACAAAAGTTGCAACAATAGGATTCCAACGCATCTTTGATTGGAGAATCCAACAAAAATGAAAGGTACTCCATGAAACATGTTCCCTCCAAACCCCACGTTCGTCCACACTCAAATAACACACCCAAGCAATATCATATACTTGTCACCAGAGGATGAATGAAAACACTGGCTATACGCAGCGCTTTGGACTTTAGGGTTTGGATTTAGGGTTTTAATTTAGGGTTTAGGCTTTTAGGATTTTAGGGATTTAGGGTTTTAGGTTTTGGAAAGTAAAAACGCTAGCCCTACGCAGGGATTTGAGCATGTCAAACGATATGCGGGATCCGATGCGGGCAAACGTGGGGTTTGCAGCGAACATGTTGCACTTATTTAAACATTTCTACTGTAATCCATTTTCCTTGAAGAAATTTGTACCATCCCAGTGTTCCATTTGTATTGAAGCTGTCTAGGTGGTTTCTTTCTATGAGAAATGGGATCACATTTCGATTTTTCGGAAGCGCTTAGCAGTGGAAACAGAAAGTCCAGCAAATATCAGCAAATCTTCACCATGTCCATCATAGACATGCTGTATATCTGTATGATGAGTTTAGATTGACCCAAACAAATCTCTCTTTTCGGATATCTTTTCTGTTGATTTGACCAGTTTTTTAACACGCCATCGATGAAAGAACATAACATGACATAGATTTTTAACATGTCAAACGCGTTCTATGGTTTTTTGTTTTTCATGCATACCTGTACATGTATAGACCATTATAGACCAGTTCATAGTGTATGCTAACATACTGTTGGAAAACCTCTATTTGTTTGGTTAATGGGCTTATTTTTTGCCGTGCATTGCCGTGCATATATGGAATCCAGCAATGCAGCAAAACAACATCCTGCTTTTAGAATGCATCCAAGGCTGGCTATACCCATGGAAGTCGGATATATTCAATGGCGATCACACACACATATATATATATATATTATATTATATTATATTATATTATAAATTATATATACATATTATATTATATATATGTATATTATAGGCACTTATGTGATAAACCCAATAATAAAACATCCTCAATATATATAGAACTCTCATGACACTCAAATGGTTGATTACTAGGATGGTCTATAATTGGGTTTATCAAACTATATGATAATTATACCGTATAATTTAGATACTGTACCTATAATACGTAAGCCACTGGGTTGGGGTACATTCCCTCGACATTGGCATAACCGTCACATAGCTAACGTACATCCAGTTTAGGTACCTACTACATCAACCCCACATGAATTGCCAGAAAACCTCAGTTCCTTAGCTTATTTTTGTCAATTGAACACCCCAGATTTATTCCTTACATGCTCATAATTTTTGCCCATTGAAAATCTATGTTTTCTGGGAAGATGATGCCAGAATTTCACAAGAGACTTGTGATTTTCCGTTGCCATCTCAAGTTACCAGAGTTCCAAACTCTTGGTAGCTGGGGAAATCCTTGTTTTTACTGGTGCTAAACGCAGGGAATGAGGGAATGATCCATAATCACTAGTAATAATCATCCCAACAACCCCCATTCCCATCCATTCCTTGCGTTTAGCACCAGTAAGTTTACGTATGTTTCCAAACTTCCAAACCCTCGCACAGTCGCACAACGACTTAGGAGTTATGGCAACCAAACGGATTTTCTCTTCTCGCGGCGAAGCGTCTCCATTCCCGCAGGCGAACCCGGGATCATTTTTGAGATCGGCAAAAATGGTGCGTACCCTGACGTAAATCAACATCCGGTAGCTATAAAATGGAAATTTTATAGTTCGCTGATTTATGAAAATTTAACTGTCAAGAATTGTGGGTTTCCATCGCTATTTTAAATTACCTATAGACTAAGGGAAATGATGCCCAGAACCGGCTTATTTCTGACTAGGATGCCGAAGAGACCTCAAGCACCTGGAAGGTATGGGGGGACCCATCGCCGATTTTCTTTTCCATCCTGAACACACTGCCGTTGGCAATTTTTTGGAGGGTTACTATATATGGGTATGGGTCAAAATTAGGTACCCCAAAATTATGGATGGTTAATACTAAACTAGACTAACATCTGTGGTCCCCTAGGTCTTCCATTTTGACCCACATCCATATATATATATATATATATGTGTCTACAGTTCTGGCCCTTTAGCAGTAATTCTTCAGTGATAATCCCATGGAATGATCACCCCATAACCATAAAAATAACTGGTTAACATGGCTTAGACTGTGCCATCAGTTTGGCCAGGCCCCTCTTTTTTTGGAGACAGGGGCATAGAGATCAACTGAGCCATGAACTGGACTTAAGGGATTTAGAATCTGGTTATGTCAACAGTTTGCTATTGAAAATGGTGATTTTTTTTGTGGACTTACCCAGCTATAGAATGGTGATTTTCCATAGTTATGTCAGTTTACCAGAGGGTAACCATGGGTGATAGTGGTTTGATTAGTCATTCAACACCACGGGCTTACTATTCAACTGGCTTAGTCTTCAATGAGATTACCTTAACATCCTGATATTCCTGAATATCAAGAAAACTTCCAAAACACCACCCACAATATTCAACAATCTTCCAAAACATTCAATAATTTTCCAACACATTTCAAAAAAGCCACAACATTCCAGACAATTCCAAAGAAACACTAGCCCACTAGGACCAAATCATTCCAAATCATTCCAAAAAAACAAATTTCTTCCAAATCATGCCAAACAAATGCAAAAATAAACAAACCATTCCAAAAAATCCAAATCATGCCCAACAAAAACAAAAACAAACAAATCCAAATCATTCAGAAAAACACCAAAACATACCAAACACATATCAGGATTTGAAGTTTTTGGAATGTTTTTGAATGATAGTCTGACATCAGAACATGGATTTTCCATACTATCCCTATATTCATGGTGCCTCTATCCTTTCCCCGGGATAATAGGGTATTTTTCATGGCACTGATGGGAAACTTCTTATTGAAGTTTGGTGTCTATGGTCGCTTTCAAATGCTCAAAGATTTGCACTATATATACTCATATTTACCGCACTGACCTATATTTTGCCAAATGTATGCGCAAGTACACAGTATATACAACATACATATTGTATAATATATATATATATACACACACACCTTTCCCAATATATCCCCATTATACACATCATGCCCACATGCCCCCCGTTCACGCTTCCTGGTGAGAGGAAATAACACCGTCACCAATCCAGACCTGGAAACTGAGCGGCAACAACTTCGCTGCGATTATCCCCGGTTGGTTGATGATTGTAGGAGTTCATATGGGGTTTTCCATAGATCTGTGTAAACCAACCATACTATGGGATAATGGTAGTATAATGGAACAATATATAGCCATATATAGCCAACAATAATCAACAATCAGCCATATTATAGATCTGTGTAAATTTCATCACGACCGAAGCCTGTTCTCCCAAACCGTGGAAGAATGGTTTATTTTAGGGAAATCAACCCCAAATGGCTTTAATTCAGGTTAGTGAAATATTACAATTTACCCAGATAAATGTATGGTTTATAATGGATGGTTTATTTCATGGAAAATCATATCATGGATGGTTCATGATTGTCGGAGTTCATATTGTCGGAGTAAATGGGGGATCCCCAATAGCTGGATGGTTTATTTCATGGAACATCCGAAAATAAAATGGATGATGTAGTGGTGCCCCCATTTCAGGAAACATTCATATCATCCAAGTACCCTCTGGTAAACTAACATAACTATGGAAAGTCACAATTTTTCATTGGAAAATCCACTATAAATGGCAATTTTCAATAGCTATGTTAAATTACCAGAGGGTATCTCAGAGCCTCCACGTGTTTTTTTTGTTTCTCATCATAAACTATAACCAACCACTATAATTGAATGATGTTGTGGTTTTGAACACTGCTCATGTTGGGGTCAATTCATTTGGGGCCACCTACTATGTTCTACATCAGCTTAACATGACGTTTTTGCATCGTCCAGAAGTATCGTTGTACATCAATATCATTAATGCATCCTCAATAGTGTACCAATTAATAGTGCTGGTCATACAGTTCATCCATTGTCCACAGCTTTCATTAAGATATCGCTACTTCATTTGTTTCTACCCTCTGGTAATTTAACGTAGCTATTGAACATGGCCATTTATAGTTGATCTACCCATACAAAATGGTGATTTTCCATAGTTTTTTGAATGTTTACCAGAGGGTACACCATGGATGGTTGGTGGATGGGCCAGGGTTTGTCTGAAAAGTGAAAGGTACCCCAAAATCCCATGGTGAAACTCATCATGTCCCCCTTTACAAGCCATGGCCATGTGTGAGAAAAAAAGCCCAATTTTCAGACACAATCATATCACATATCTATAACATTTCCAATAGCACCACTTGGAAGTACGGTTCTAGTTTTAAGTGGATATATATATATATAAACATTATATAACTGTAGTTATAGGGGCCCCATATCCCAACTTATGTTCTATATGTTCAACCCTAGTTGGGCAGCTTTCTGCCGTTGTGTCGTGTTGTTTCCAAAATGGCAAAGGGCAAATCCCTACTTTGCTAGTGATCTCCTATTCCAAGCCGAAAATGAGATGTCCATCAAATTTAAGGATAGTCTTGCATATATCTTCATATATCTTCCTATTTTAGTTGGTGAACTCACCATTGCGATAGGCTAAATCCCGACTTTTTGTGAATGTCCGTCGGATACTTCGACCTTTTTGGTCGGTGAGGTGCCCATATTGATTGGCTAATTTTATTCATCCAACGCCCTTTTCTGGATATCCAAAACCCTTCCCGCCTATATTCAATACACAGAAACCCTGGTTAAGTATTGGATGTGTTCATTCTGGGGGCCCGTGTGACTTGTAAGTACTTGATATTTGGGGGTACGGGATATTCTATAGATTCTATAGATAGTAAGATTCTGCATTTCGTCAACTCCACAGTTTGGTATGGCACACATTAGTCCATTCTCTCAGCTCGCGTGGCGAGCTCCCCCATTGTTGCTATTCGCCACAAAATGGGTTTAAATTCCATTCATTTGTTGCTTCAATAGAATTAAAGTTTCCATCAATAGCATCAAACAGCTGCATAAAATGGTTTTCTACCATCAAACTCCTGAAGAATCAATGTATATATGTTTAGATCAATTACATACCACCCATAGATTGTCGGAGCTTTCTGAGTTTTGCTGATTTGATTTGTCAAGTCTGCACTTTCACATGCTGTTGTTTAGGGTATACACTTATAGACTATCTCATTACTAGTACACATATATATATATACAAATAAAAAAAATATATATATAAATATATATATATAGATATTCCCTTACATTCCCCATTTCTTGGTCAGATGAATTCCCATTGACTGAACTAACCCATTTCTTGGTCCAGTTGATCTCTGGCTGAATCAACCGAACGAACGAACGTCCGGCACGCCGAAGCCTGGAAATCCATGTTTTTTTTTGGGGTTTTTATATGTTTTTATAAGGGGAATCATCCCAAAATGGCCGAAAATCCATGGGTTTTTATAAGGGGAATCCCAAAATGGCCGAAGTTTTCAGATTTTTTCAGGTTAGTGAATTATGATAAGTTCCCACCATTGTAACAATTCTAGTTCATAAATTTGTTGGACTCCTCGATCCCTTCAAATCACAGAATTTGTTCATGTTCGCCCAGGAATTCGACTGGGAGCGCAACAACAGAATTGCCTTAACCAACAGCATTTATTACGCCTTGTGGGGAATCAAGACCGCAGTTGAAACCGAGGTGCAACTAAGTAATGTGGTGTGGTTGCTGGCCATATTTTTGGGATATTTTGGGATATTTTGGGAGGGTTTATTGAATGATATTGGGATCCCAAAAATAAACCTTGGGTGATCAATTGTGTAGATTCTAGTGTAGATATAAACCTAAACATTCCTTGGGGATAACGGAAATGCTGGAAGACATTGTCGAAGGAATTCGATTGAACTGGTTGAACAAGGTGAAAACCAGTTACAAGTTGGTTTATAAGCACCATTTAGTTTTAAGTTCTAAGTGCCATAATTCCCAGAAAAAGCAATTTCTACACCAACTTCGCTAACGAATCCTCGAGCCCCACTTTGTAGCTATTCATTGGTAGATCAACATTATTCGTTGATTTTAGCTAGTTCGATATATCCAGAAAATAAATCCATCTATTTGTCCAGTCTTGTTAGCCAACCAGAGCGAGGTTGTCGACTACGTGTTTGCGCAGGTCGCGCACAATCTCTTTGCTTGTAGAAGCACGTTTGGCGCAGATGCTCACTTGGCTGCTTATTTGTTCGAGTGGAGAATGGGCAAAAAGTGTCACAAAATTGCGGGACGCGACGTTGCTGAAGAGTGGTTGCATCATCTGGCACGAATTGGGATCTGATTCTGGGGCTGGGCTGGCCACGGCCATGGTCATGGATTCGCTCTGCACAGTGATCTATCGGACACCAACGCTGACACGGATTCCATTTCATTTCTTTCATTTAAGGAATTTAAGGACACCTATCGTTTCAGTGCCCCATGTTTGGAAGATAGTTAGTCATTACATCAGCATGTTTGATGTTTCATGTCCTTTTTTTGTGGTCAAACCCATCATTATCCTTGAGTTGCTGAAGATGTTGTTTATTTTCCCAACAGGGAAAAATAGCAGAAATGGAGAATCTATAGAGAATATGTTGTTCAAATTTATTGTTCGGGGTTCCTTAATCAAATCCAAGTTATAATGGCCGTCATAATAACCCCTCGAGTGCTACACGAAAATCACTCGCGACTGAAGTGTTATCAAAGTTACTCATTGTTGGGCAACTTGAACCGGGATCCACAAAGTTGGAAACATATCGGGGCGTTTGGTACTAGGATGATGGAATTTGGATGTAATTGGAATTAATGGGATAGTGGGAACGTAGTGAGATAATCATGATGAAGAATAATGAGGTAACAATCAAATTATAATGAGATAATGATGAGATAATGATGAGATAAGAATTAGATAATGATTAGATAATGATGAGAAAAAAAATGAGATAACATTGCGACAATGATGAGATATAAATGGGATGAAATCGTTAGATAAGAATCTCCAGGAACCGTAAGTGGTTTACAACCCATGAGTTGGAATCGCCTATGAATCACCAACTCCAACTCAGGAGATTCCATCGATCTATGCATATATGGATATACTCACACCTGCATATATATATATATATCCTCTGGTAAACTAACGTAACTATGGAAAATCACCATTTTTAATGGGAAAACTCACTATAAATGGCCATTTTCAATAGCTATGTTAAATTACCAGAGGATATATATATATATATGTATATATATATATATATAATATGTATAGAACTGGGTTCCCGAAATAATATCTGAATTGCCCCACATTCCAACCTGATTCCCCCACACATTAAGGGCGTTTTACATTCTGAAACACCAAACATGGATTCATAACCAGCCAAACAAATGGGTCCTTCCCAAAAAAACATCCACAAAAACATGATGACATCTCTGTGAAGTGGTGCCCCCAAGTTATAAGTTGGTTATAACCCCTGTTAACTAGTTCGATAAATTTACCTTGACCCCAGCAATTAGCCTAGTACGAAACCAACTTAACGATTATAATTCAACTAGAATTTCCCATTGTTGTTCGAGTACGTTGCATCCGCATGATCATCCAAATATTTTCTTGGTTAAATGTCACCATATCCCCATGTTTCATACCACCATTGTTGTTGCTTAAATCCATTGGGAACCCCTGAGGATAGATGGTTCATAATTACTCAACATGGACGAAAATCGGCCCCCCTGTCAATGGCCATTTCAGGATCCTAAATTGGAGGTACCTACCATATATAAGGCCTATGTAAGGGGATATCCCCCAAAAATATGGCCTTATATGGTACAATACCTCCATTTTATTATATACTATATATCATATACTATCACATACTATCATATACTATCATATACTATCATATACTATCATATACTATCATATACTGTCATATACTATCATATACTATCATATACTATCATATACTATCATATACTATTATATACTATCATATACTATTATATACTATTATATACTATCATATACTATTATATACTATTAGGATCCTGGAATTCCCATCGACTCCTGGGTCTTAAGAATTCGACGAGTTCGACTTCCGCAGTTGGAGCCTGGACGTGATGCTGTGTGGACCTTTGCCTATTTTGAGGACATGTACTCAGTGCCTTTGGAGCGAGTTTCCGTGGGGTTGGGTGTCCCGCGAAGCGGATCCGTGGTTTATAATCCATATATAACTATATATAACACATATTGTATCCCCATTCTTATAAATATATATATATATATTATATAATATATATTATAATATATGTATAAGTGGGGATGTTCCATCAATCACACAACCGGGGTATAACCCGGTTACTTTAAGTGTGACCCCCAAGTAGATTGGCATCCCGGAAATGGAAACGCTCAGAATGATAGGGATAACAGTTTCAGAGAAATAGTCATGTAGCATATTACTCGGGAGGATATTATACTTAGGGAAATGATAGGGAAATTATAGGGACATATTACTTGTGATTAAAGTTTGATAATAGGGAGATGATAGGGATAATTTACTTGTAATCATAGTGAGACAATAAAGGAATCATGTTGGAATAATGGAATCATGGATTGTAGAATGGGATGGCAGTGTCATAAGTTGATGACAACTTGGCGGGATATCAATTTTCCAATACAGAGATTAATGATATCCACTTGGGATTTTATAATTAATATATTTCATGGGGCTTTAATTAGTTGGGCTCCTCTGGGGATGTGGAATTTCAGCGTTGAGGATTTTTCAACATTAACCATTTTCACTCTGATCATTTAAACAAAAAAAACTTGCAAATTCAGGGGGATTATAAGTAAGGGGGATTACCTTAAGGATTATTAAGGTATCTGGATGCGAAAGGGGACCACATTTCCAAGTACCAGAACCTATAATCTAACTATATCTGCCGGTTATCCCGCATAGACCTGAGTTATATGTTGTGATGTGGTTGACCACTATTGTATTTCCTGGGATGCACATCCAGACGCACAACTAAGATATCTCAAGATATCTTAAGATGGCTCAGGGGTCGGTGGAGTGGTGCAAAGTCATGTGTGCTTATTGTTTGTTTCTAGTGAATGTTTGTGATTATTGTTACATATTGTTACGTTTTGTTTTTATTTGGCCTTTGTTTGTTTGTTTTGTTTGTTTGTTTGTTTGTTTGTTTCTGTTCATAACTGGAACTGCACTTCCATTATGTCCAAATGGGTATCCATGGGATAAACTGCACTTTATATATTATTTCAATGGGATATAAATGACATATATATGGGTATTTTTAATGGACTATTTAATGGGATATAAATGCACTTTATTATTTTAATGGGATATAAATGACATAATGGAATATACTGTATATATATATATGGGTATCTCGTTGCTTTTGGACAAGGCCGTGTCAGAAACCTTCTTTTCTATGAGAAATCGTGGGAATCGAACCCGAGAAGCCGTTTCCACTTTGGGGCGATTCGGGGTCCCCCATGTGGCCATGGTCATCATCCTGCATCTTCAACCCTCCTGCTACCCTCCGGGAATCAAATATGGCTGGCTGGAAAATACACTATTGATAGGTGATTTTCCTATTGAAACCCCAATTTCGAGTGGATTTCCAATTGCCACGTTTGATTACCGGAGGGTAATCAAACATGGCAATGAACAAAATCACTCATTTATGAAGGATTTTCCAGCTGAAGCCTCCATTTGTAGGGGGTTTCCCAGCTAGCCATGTGCACCTGGTCCTAACCTACTTGGATGGTCCGATGGTTATCGTGGTCCCATGGTTATCCGTGATGATCTCCATATAAAATGGGCTGTGAAACACAGCTTGCTGGCAGCCATCCACCTGCGTGACCTCGAAACAACATGAATCAGACTTTCATCAAGGCACTTTCTCTGTTTCTTCGCGGTGAAGTCTATATTTCTGTGCTCCAAAAACGCAGCATCTATCCCAACTATCTGTAACTATCTGTTTTTTTTGCGTGCTTAAGTCACTCTATGTTTAAATCTCATGGTTAAGTCACATTCTCGATCCCAACTATCGTGTTTTACACCTCAAATCTTCTCACCTTCAAATGTCGACCGCAACCGCCCACTTTTTTCAGGGATTTGGTGGTTACGCCTGCCGCAGCTACAAGGCCATCCATTCTGATCAGGGTCATCCGTGGTGAATGGCCACCCCAAATTTGGCGAGACTGGCGATCTAATGGGAACCATTTGAGTAGCTGAGATCACAAATATTTTTCGGGCCTGCACCCTGAGAATCCCTGAGATATGAGTCGATTATAGTCGATTCATATCTACAAATCACGGTTGACATGAGTTTATTCATAGCTATACGTAGCCATACATGTTTTTTTCGGTACTTTTTGGATCTATTCCGCTTGTGGGAAAGATCCGCTTGGTGATTGATCATGGTTCCGGGTAAGGTTCCATTAATCATCCTTTCAAAGGAATGTCCTTCAACCAACAGCATAACTGGTTGGTGGTTTGGAACATATTTTATTTTCCATAATATATGGGATAATCCTTCCCATTGACTTTTATTGCTTTTCAAGATGGTTAAAACCACCAACCAGTTGGACATGGACTGATACAAACAGGACACGGAGAACACACAGAGATGTATATATTATATATATACATATGCATATACATATATTATATATATACGTGTAAATATACACATATTATATATACACATATTACATAATGTGTATATATATATATTACATACCTATATATTATATACATATACACATAATATATATATATATATATACATATTACATAATGTATATATATATATATGTGCATATTACATATTGCATATATATATATATATACATGTCAGGCACACTACATTGCAGAACATATGTCACGAAGAATGTCCTATAGAATGTCATATGGTCAGAATATATGTCAGAAACAGTGCCAGTTGGTCGGAATCACTCGAAGAAAGTATATAATATATATATATATAATAATATATATATATATATATAAGTGTAATACTTATCATATATCATAATATATGTATATATATCAGAGTCTTGGTAGTGATATCAAGTGATCAAGATCTGCATCAGGATTCCAAAAACGGAAGATTGCTGATTAGATCCCACAGTGGGCTGTTTGGTCATGAGATACTGCCCAAGAATCAATGGGAATTGTGGTGGTATAATGATGTATAATGGAGATACGATGGGTATAGAAATTGGTGGGACTATAATGATAATACCGTTTTATACATCAGTATGGAATATAATATACCCAATATACATGGATAATTGTGGGAATATCATGAATATAACTAGCAGATAAACAATTATAGCATATAATGATAGTTATATTTCCAGAATTATAGAATATAGTATAATTTCAGGATCCTAAAACGGAGGTACGTTGGTACCATATTTCAGCCAGAAGTTTGTGGGGATATTCCCTGAAATTTAGGCCTTGGATTTTGGCCTTATATCTGGTAGGTACCTCCAATAAATCAGTTCCTGTTGCATGGCCATTGAAAGAATGACCATGGTTTCAATGATTCACATCACTGTTGGTTAGTTCAGATATGTTCACATGTTTTCTCCATGTTTCTCTACCCTCTGGTAAACAAACAAAAAGCTATTGAAAATGGTCATTTATAGTGAGTTTTCCCATGAAAATTGTGATTTTCCATAGTTATGTTAGTTTACCAGAGGGTATTTTTGGTATCTATATGTGTTGTTGTGGGTCTTACCCTTCTCCAAGTCCTGCTAAATATAGATCTGGTTGAAGGGAATTTACAAAGGATTCCCCCATATTTACTGGTTAAACATTATTTTTTCCTGCATTTTTTCAAGCAACCCAATGATTCCTCTTAATTATTTATTGTTCACAGATCATTTTGGTGGGTTTACAAAACCATGTTTGAAAGTCACGTGTTCATCTTTATGGCTTGAACATCCGTGTCTATGTTTGGCTGAAGTGACCGTTTGACAGACTCATATTCCCACAAGGTGGTGCCCCCCTTTTCCTATAGTATATAATAGAAAAATATTCCCCGAAAAAAATGTCAAAAAATCAGAAATTGGTTAACATTCCATTTGTCAATTCACATAGTATCAAACAATGATGGAATGCGCTTTATATCTTGCGGCAACTTGTGGTTGCTGCTTGTCCTCAAAAGCAGCACCTGATTTTTCTACGCAACCTGGCAGGCAGCTGTCGACCGTTGGGGGAATGCCACCACGACCCTGATTCCATTGAAGGTCGGGAGGGTGAGATTGTCAAGGCCTTTGATTGGGGAAACCCACTGGAAGGCTAAACATAGGCGGTTGAACCACGAAAATCAGGAGAACTGGTTGGTGGTTTGGAACATAATTATATGACTTTCCATATATTAGGAATGTCATAACCCCAACTGACGAAGTCCATCATTTTTCAGAGGGGTAGGTCAACCACCAACCAGGGAAACTATGTGGAAATTGCCGGGTCCCTACACCGATTCTTCCGAATCGACCAGTGAGCCACCCAAGTGACGGGAGAAGAATGGGGAGTAAACACTGAAAAATGCTGGGAATTATGACATGATTTACCCAGGTATATTTAGATATAATCAGCAAAAAGAAAGTAAGACCTTCCTAAAGTGGTGGTAAATCACTGTTCTATCTTTTTGGGGGTTGCTGTGATCAATTGAACCAATTGAACCTTTCCTCTCACAGGGGGTCTTATCATAGCTGCATTTTTTTTGGCAGTTTTTACGGTGAACATGGCGAGAATCCCTGGAATCACTGAGTTTATCAACGATTCAATGGGTCCCACACATTGAAGGAGGGCCCTAGTAGATGGCCCAAGTAGGCTCAGTTTCAGCACATCCCAATTTACACTTTCGGTGGGCCCCAAGCGATCGTTTTTTTCTCCACTAAACATTGGGATGTAACTAAGAATGATAACTGATAATTGGTTTATGACTTATGATGGCCAAGTTGGTGTTGATAAATCGATTTTCGCTGTAAATATGAGGGTTTTTAGCCACCAGCGCCTAATGACTGGGCGAATAGCAGTCCTAGGATGCACCAGGCAATGAGATGCTGTGCCTTGATCTCAGTGGTCCAGTGGTTGAGCAAAATATCACCCATTTGAAGGACACAGTGACACACCCATATCAAAAAATATCATTTCCAATACCACTTGGAAGTGCTGTTCCAGTTTTAAGGGGATATATATATATATTATGACTATAGTTGCAGGATGGCCACTAGGGGCCCCATATCACATGTTTTTTCTTGATCTCACCTTTGGTAACTTCAACTTGATCCACTTCCACTGCAGCACCAACATCACCAACCTAGCTCAATCTTACATGGATACTTTAATCCTTTAGTCTTTTGGCATCAATGGGAATATCTACGTTCACCAGCAAAGTTTTTTTTTGCCAGGTATCTGGCTGATTGGCAATGCAACTAGCAACATCCTTTCAAGCCTATGGCAGGTCAAGGGACTGGTTTGGAACCCCTTGAGCCTGGACTCGATTAGCCGCTTGGTTGAATAAGCTGACCGAAGGATAAACCATGCGAAAAACCTCACTTATCTAAGTTATCTATATCAATTCATATGTACTTATATATATATATCTACATACATACATAATTATGTATATACACATATAGTGTGTATATTGTGTATATATATATACGTATATATGTATTGATAGATAGTCATGTACATATAAATGAAATCCGTGTACTGTGTACTGTATACGCACCAAAAGCTATCGTATTACTGGAAGGGTATATATTGATGGGTTATACCTATGTATATATATATATGCTATCAAGCAGCAACTGGAACGTATCTAGGTCTACATCATACGGTGCTAGGAGGTGCTAGAGATACTTCCCTCCTTCCTTCCCCAACAGCGAACTCCAGATCGCAGTGGGCACTGCCGGACCTCAACCGCGAGCTCCAGATCTCAGTGGGCACTGCCGGACTTCAGCCAGACGCAAGAGAGAATGTCAGATACAATGCCAGAAAGTATGTCAGAATAGATGCCAGATAGAATGCCAGATAGGATGTCAATGTATATGACAGAAAGAATGTCAGATAGAATGTCAGAATAAATATACTTCCAGACGGTATGTCAGAAACTATGTCAGAAAATCGTGTTTCAGGGTGATCATTTTTCGAAGAAAGCAATTTTCTGAGATGAATTGCAATTAGCATAGACCCTAAAAATCACCAATTTTTAGTGGAAACGAGCATCTTCCAACCCCGATGACTGCCAGGGTCGAAGTGTTAATTTACTGGAGGGTAACGTATGACATCCAAATGATATCCATATACTATCCTGCAGGATGGGCCCCCCCAGTTATAAGTTGGTTTATAAACCATTATAATCCCCATTAACTATATATAGTTATATCTACCATAAACCATTGTTAAGCCACTTATAAACCAACTTAGCTATCTTGGGGGCCCCATCCTGTGTGTACCATATGTTTATTGTGTACTGGGTCTCTTCATGGGTGACCGAAAATGCTTTTAGTACACCGGTATACCCGTTTCAATCGGCCATTTCATAGGGAAAATGATGATTTATGCGTTGATGGATTTTGGGAATCTCTATTTTCAGACAAGTCGCCTCATCATTTGCATGGTCATTTGCATGTTTTGTTTTTTCACAGCACGTTTGCTGCTATCTATCCAAAATATATCACCAATTTCACGTGCTCAACAAACGCACGTTTAACTTGCTACTATACCGCATGTTTTGTTTCTTTCATTTTCTTTCATTCCGAGCATTGGATGAGACATTTTGGAGGAACCCGATAAACGTGGAACTCCGTGGAAACGTGGTGTTTTTTCGGAGTGACCGAGTGACGGATTCCAGCCATTAATGTTACCCTGGCATGAAGTAACATAGATGTGGAAAATGAATGGGGAAATCTGAGGAAAATCATCTGCAGCTGACGGCTTTTCCACTGAAGGAATTGGCGGGTACATTTGTATGAATCACCTCAATCAATCCTTTTCTGGGTGCTTTCAACTATTTCTTACCATGTTGCATCCCCACAAAAACCAAACAAGTAAGGAATGATGACATGTACTGAGCCTATTTGGCACATATTCCTTGGAGGTAGCTCAAGCATCAGCCAGTTTTGGCAAGGTTTCTCCATTCTATTTCACGCGTAATGGGGGAACTTGGGTGCTTTTACCCTCCTGTAAACCGACATAGATCTTGAAAATCCACCATTTGTTTATCATATTCCTAGAGAAACCATGCTTTTACTGCTTGGTACTAGAAAATCCACCATTTATATATTCTACCCTCTGGTAAACGTTTACGTAACTATGGAACATCACAATTTTCAATGGGTAAATCCACTATTAATTACTGGTTGGTGGTTTTCTGGTGAAGACCTTCCCAGTTTTGAAGAGATGTGAGCGTGATGCCTGTGAATGTGGTGCCTGGCATAATGCTGAGAATTTGCCTTTGAGGGATCCCATCATGGATGTTTGGCGTAGGCAGTATCTGACCGCTAGTTTCAAATCATCACCCCCTGCAAAGGCTGACATTTTTTCAGTCTGCATCCGAGTGCCTGAAGTGATCCTTTTGCCATTGCTTGCGCAGAGCGGAGCCTCCGGTGCTTTCACTGAGCCTCGTACTCCGGATGGGAAGGAAGTCCTGTCACAGTATGTCGTGATTTGGGGGGTCCGCATGTCTCAAAGTGAATTGGCACATGTCATGCAAACGAATCCTATTGTCATCGGTATGGCTCGTTTGGGTGAAAGACGGGGTTTGCGGGTCCATGAGAACCATGCTCAGGCATTGCACCAGATCCTTCGCCCAGACTCGGCATTTTTGCCCAGTGGTCCCAAAAGCCAGTATGTTGCCGGACCTTTTCCTTGGGGGGCAGACAGAAACGCAATCAACAAGGCGCTGCAGCAAGCAGGTTGGAGTGTGAAGGCCTTACAGCCCAATCAACCGGTACCAGGACGTGGGTCAATGTGGATCATCCAATCTGTGGATCCACCCCCACAACTGATTTTTCACATGATGCATGGCGAGGTCGTGGTGTCCAAGCACAAACACCAAGACCACATCAAGCCCTCTGCTGCTGCCACGGTAGGTTCTGCCAACACGTTGACTCTGTGTACCGCAGGTGCACCTGACTTGCATGGTGAAACTGATCCTTGGCTTCATGCTGACCCATGGGGACCGTACACCCCCACCAAGCCTAAGGCGCATCCGACTTCTGCCGCTGAGGGTCTCAAACAAATGGAAGAACGCATCCAGTCGGCCGTGTTGGCCAAGTTGCCCACTGCGATGGAATCTGATGATGTCCCGGAGAGGCTGTCCAATTTGGAGAATCAGGTCCACATGCTGATGAATAAGAACCAGAAGTTGGAAGGGCAGTTCACGGAGTTTTCCAACCAAAGCACCCAGCAGTTTGCGGTAGTGCAGCAGCAAATCCAGCAACAGGGTCAGACGTTCCATGGTCAATTGGAGAGCCAAACACAGAGCGTGCAGGCTATGTTCGAGGCTCAGATGCAGCAGATTAGGAACTTGCTTGCCAAACGTCCACGTGAGGACGGAACCATGGAGTGACGATGTGGGGAGGGATTTACTTGTGATGATGGGGGCCTCTTGCTGCTCCTGTGGATGCTTCTCATTTTCATGGTGTGTGGATTTCATCATTGCTTGTGGATCCTGTTCCCCCTGATCCTGTGGAGAGTCTGCGAAGGTACAGGTAATGTTGCCAGATCCTGTGTGGGTCGCTGTTCCCGTGGCATTGCGCTGTTGGTTTTGCTTGGTCTTTTTCCAATCGGGGAAGCATCAAACCCTGGTCCTGACGGCCATTTTGATGATTGCTTTACACTGGGTACATTCAACCCTTCGGGGCTGAGAAACAAAGCTCAATTTTTTCAAACTCACCTTGCCCATGGTGATTTGTGGACTGTCTCTGAAACCCATTTCTTCGGCAAGGATGTATCTAGATTCAAGGCTGGATTGAGAAGTGCTGGGTCCAAACACAAGTACTGCGTCACTGATGTTTCATCATTGCATCGGCGTCTGACCACTGAGACCTCATGGAAAGGTGTAGCCGCCTTGGCTAAACATCCGACCAGGCAGATTCCGACTTGTTTGCCCCAGCCTGTCCTTGATTCTGGCCGAGCCCTGATGTTTGCGTCACTGTTTGGTGATGTTTGGCTTACTGGTGCTGTACTATATGGTGAACCAAATAGTCATGCTCACCCCTGTCATTTGCAGAACAACCAATATTTGTTGCACCACCTCGCCACAAACTTGTGTGGGCTTTGCACCGGTCCTCGCTTTTTGGCGGGAGACTGGAATGTGATGCAAAATTCCCTGCCTGCGTTTGAAATCTTGCACCAACATGGGTTTCGTGATATCCAAGATGTTGCTCTGAATAGAAGTGGAGAACCGATTCAAAACACTTGTAAGGGAAAAACCAGGAAATATTTTTTCTACTTGTCTCCTGAACTTCAAGACCTGTTTGTGGCGGCCCATCTTGACCATGATGTTTGGCCTGATCACGCAGTGCTGTCTGGAACATTCAGGATGGTCACCCACATCCCAGATTTGCGAGTTTGGCCTTCTCCTCATGCGATGCACTGGCCGTCTCAGTTTGGGGAGGAGGTTAAATGGGAGGCTCCCGATGGTAATATGACTGCTGGCTACTCCAATTTGTGGAATGCCATTGAACAAGATGCCATACACAAGTCTCCCCACAGTGTTGATGCTAAGATGTTGGGTAGGGCTAGTCGTGTCACACCCAAGATTGTCAAAGCTCACAAATTTTCTCCTCTCAAGATTGGTAGGCAAGGGGATTTTCAACCTGCATTCATAGGAGCTTCGGTGCGGCATGCACAATGGGTCCGACAAGTGCGTCGGCTTCAGTCGTTTGCCAGAATGGCAGCCAGTAGGAAGCCAGACCTTATGCTTTCCCTGATTGAATCCTGGAGTGCCATCTTGCATGCCAAGGGCTTTGGGCCTTCCTTTCCTGCATGGTGGATTGACAGTGGTTTCCGAACAGGGGAGGCGCCAGAAGTTTGCCCCCAGGCCCCACCTGGGCCTGATTGTGCCTTTGCCATGTTTGAATCTGTTTCACTTGCTGTCCGCCATCTTGAATCACAGCTTCGCAAGCAGTCTCGTGAATATGCCAAGTTTCGCCGTGATTGTAATCCCAACATTGTTTTTGCCGACGTCCGTCCAGCCATGGTCCCAGGGGTTGAGGTTTTGTTCCAGACCACCCTAGCTGTTGTTGAAGAGGTTGATGCCGACACTGGTCGGGTCACCCTTGCTCATGCTTGTGAGTTCAATGACCACGGAGTGATTTCTTGCCGGGGTAGACCTCTTGCTGTCATTCACAAGGAAGCTGATGCGTTGTGGGTTGAAGACACGTCGCACGTGACAGTAGGTGAAGAAGTGGTTCAAACCAAATATGTGGGGAATCTTCAGGAGTTGGAAGAACAATTTGTTGCGGATTGGAAGGCCAGATGGATGCGCCATGCCGAGGTTCCTGCTGAGCGGTGGGACCTCATTGTGAGCTTTGCCGAGCGGTACATGCCTGGCGGCCGCCATTATTGGCCTCCTATGACGCCTGTGGATGTTGCAGCTTCCATTGCCAAGAAGAAAAAGTCGACTTCTCACGGCTTTGATGGAGTCACATTGGCTGATCTTAAACGCATGCCGAAACCGGTTCTTCAAGCATTTTGTGATATGTTTGCTGATTCTGAAGCCTCAGGCCAATGGCCTTCCCAGCTGGTAGATGGTAAAGTGGTTAGCCTTGCGAAAACATCCCACCCAGGGGCACCCAAGGATTTTCGTCCTATCACTGTCTTTGGTCTTTTGTGCCGAGTGTGGAGTTCCTTTCACGCGAGGCAGGCCCTGATCTGTTTGGACAGCATGATGCCAGAAAGCCTCTATGGAAGCAGACCGGGTCATTATGCTGCTCAGGTGTGGGCGAAACTTCTGTGGTGTATCGAACATTCATTCCAGCACTCTCTTGATTTGGCAGGGATGGTTGCAGACCTTCAAAAAGCATTTAACATGTTGCCAAGGGTCGCAGTTTTTGAAATTGCGGCGCATTTGGGGTTGCCAGGGTACATGTTGGTGGCATGGGCTGGTGCTCTCTCACAAATGCAGCGCCGTTTCCTTTTGCGTGGCTCTTTGACTGCCGGCATTCCAAGTGTGACTGGGTTTCCAGAGGGATGTGGTCTGAGCTGTGTTGCGATGTTGGTCCTTGACATGGCCTTCCATACTTGGCATAGAGTATTCTTCCCTTTGTGTACCCCCATCTCGTACGTAGATGATTGGCAGTTGATTTGCCCTAGCAGTCTTTTGGTTGATGGAGCCAAACGGTGCCTTGATCAATTTGTGGCCGCAGTTGACCTTCAGCTTGACTCGAGGAAGACCTATGCATGGTCCATCACGGACCAGGGCAGACGCCATCTGCGCCAGTGTGGGTTCAGTGTCCATTTGTCTGCCAAAAATCTTGGAGCACATGTCCAGATGTCCAGGCGTCACACTAATGCAACGCTGATGGAGAGGATTCAGGGGATGCAAGAATTGTGGCCGAAACTTAGGTTGTCTCCTTGCCGCTATGTTACCAAGGTGCGTGCAATCCTTGTGGCAGCATGGCCCAGGGCCCTTCACGCTGTAGCTGCAGTGACAGTCAGTGATGCAGCTTTCCATGCCTTGAGAACTGGTGCAATGAAAGGACTTGCTGCAGATGGAGCGGGTTGCAATGCTTGGGTCCACATGGGCTTGATAGAACACCCGCTGCTTGATCCGCAGTTTTGGGCCATCATTCAAACCATACGATGTGCACGTGACTGCGGTGACATGAACCAAATTTGCGGTGCCTTGGATCTCATCACCACCGTACCTGATTCGTTTCCTGCCAACAGTATCAGTAACACTTTGCTGTGCCGCATGCAAACATTGGGATGGCACCTGAAGCTGAAAGGCCAGGTGCAAGATGTGTTTGGTTGCTTTCATTTGTTGCGGGTTAGCATGTCTGAGTTGGTTCTCCGTGCTCAGTGGGCGTGGCAGCAGGTGGTGGCTCAGCAAGTTGCTCACCGCCCTGGGTTTGTGAACTTGCAGCATGCTGACCCATGTGACACACGTGATTTTTTGCGCCAACTGGATCATGAAGACCGAGATCTTTTTCACCGTTGTTTGAACGGAAGCCATATCACACAGGATGGGAAAAAGTATTGCCAACGTGGCACCTCGGACGTTTGTCCGTATTGTGCCTGCAGTGACAGCCGTTTTCACCGTTTCTGGGAATGCCCAAGGTTTGATGGCGAAAGGTCTGGGGTGACGCCTGAGGTGTTGGATTTGATCCCTACTCTACCTGAGTATTTGACTGCTTATGGATGGAGCCTGCGACCTCAGACATTGTTTCAGTGGTATAGCTTGCTTTGCCAGATTTCTTTCAGGGATTTTGTCCCGTTGACTCCATTGCCCCAAGTGGTGCATGTTTTTACGGATGGCAGTTGCTTGAATCAACCCTTCCCAACGTGCAGACTGGCTTCATGGGCGGTGGTGATGGCTGACACATTTCGGCCTATGCTGAGTCAAGTTTTGACGTCCGGCCCGTTGCCGGGCATCTTGCAAAGTTCCTACCGAGCTGAGATATTTGCGATTTGGCGAGCTTTGTGTGTGCTTCGGAATCAAACTCAACTGGTCCATCTCTGGTGCGATTGTCAAGCGGTTGTGCGGAAGCTTCAGAAGTTGTTGGAAGGCGGGGTCCCCAAGCCTAACAGTGCTCATTCTGATTTGTGGTTTCTCATTTATGACTGCTTGAAAGATTTTGGACCAGGCATGGTTGAGATTTCCAAAGTTGCAGCCCATCGGCGTATTTGCGATGCCACCTCGCCGTTGGAAGAATGGTGTTTCACTCATAACATGTTTGCTGACCGTGCTGCTGCCGCCGCACAATTTGATAGGCCTGAAGGGTTTTGGGATTTCTATTCACGTCATGTCAACTCCACTCTTGCTTGCCGACGCATTTCAAGGGAAATACAACATGTTTTGCTTGCCGTTAGCAAAGCTGCTGTGAAGGACTCTGATTTGCAAGCTGGAGATGAAAGGTCTGATTTGGGGGTTTCACCCCCTGTTCCTGCTGGCGCATGGCCAAAGTTGCCGGAGCTTTCTTTTCCACGTGGAGCTGTGAGATGGTATGGAGATGCAGTGGTCAGGCAGGTCATGTCGTGGTTCTGGCAGGTGACTTATGGCAGAGAGCATGATGTTGTGTGGGTATCACAATTTCACTTGTATGTGGATTTCCTTTTCACTGGTGAAGCGGCTCCTACACATATTCATTCATGGCAACACGGTGATGCTTTGCCTCATGTGGACCTCTTGGCCATTCCGTTCCACACCAGGGCAAGATGGTTTAACAAGGTATTACGTGAGTGTTGGCGTCATTTGGGGTTTTCTTGCACGACACTTTACTGCAGGCCTGAATCTGAGGCTCTTTTCTTCCATACTGGTTGTGTTGCTCTACCATGGCCGAGGTGGAGATTAAAGTGCATCGATGAATGGTTTCTGAAGTTTGCGCCTGGGGGTTACCATCGTACATCCTCAGCTCTGGCTTCTCTCCCGATTGCTGCACGAGACCTTCGATTCGACGAGGTATGGTTGTCCTGTGCATAGTCCACAGCCTAATATGGGCTGTCAGCGTTACGACCCTGGCAGCGCATCCGATAAAGTGGGATAAAGTGGTGGTTTGGAACATGAATTTTATTTTCCATTTCATATATGGGATGTCATCCTTCCCATTGACGAACTCCATCATTTTTCAAGATGGTTATTGCACCACCAAGCAGTTTTTCTGTGTTTCATAGCCCAGGGCACCTCAAAATATTTCGCCACTTTATCAATGGGAATTCCAGGATCCTAAAATGGAGGTACCATATTTTGTGGGGATATTCCCTTACATAGGCCAAAAAAATAGGCCTTATATATCCTTATTAATATGGAATCGGTACCTCCGTCCTCAATCGGTTCCTGGCCAGCATGGCCAGTGACTAAAAACCCCGGTGATCTCCGTCTCTGAAGTGATCAAGAGGTGCCGACGTGTTGGTGCTCTGTGGAACATCTTCTTTGCTTGGCGAGTTTCTGGACAGGAAAAGAGGGGCTCTCTTGACCGAGAATAGAAAGCCATCATTCACAGGGGATTTCTAGGGCTAGGGTTTTCACTAACATCTGAGGATATTGTATATGTATATATGTATATAATGAAATATGAAATACGTAACGAATTCATGATGTTTATCCACATGGGTGTTTCTCAGTGATGGACCCCCAAGTCACCATAGCTTTCAATATTAAGCAATGGGACCTAATGACTTAAATGATTTGGTGGTTCCATGACTTAGGACACATCTAAAAAGTGTTCCACAATAAATGCAGTCACCAACTATGGTACATGTGTAAACGTTGGATTTTTTTCATACGTGGAGCATTTGGGATAGTCCAAACAACAAAGAGTTTGTTGGACATCTAATCTTGGGTTAAACACGAGACTTCCTATCAATTATGCACCAATCCACTAAATATCATGTGATATTACAGTACACGTGTTGGAAGAGGTGGTTTGAACTGATCGGGTATGACTTACTGCTGACAGAGCAATCAGTTACATATATATAATATATATATATATATAAATAAGATAGGTATAACTCTGGCACAATCCTTTAGTGAGGTGTACTGGGTCTAATCATTGCGCGTACATTTTTCAAGTGGCATGTTGCATTACCAGTTGGGTAAAAGCCCAGCAGTACTCTTGTGGGGAGCAGGATCAACATAGCTGATGCTTATGGACTTTTATGGACTTTTACCCCTGCAGTATCATTGGTTGTGACCCATCCCCTAATATGGGTATAACTGTAAAACCATACAAAGTGAGGCCCCCAAGATAGCTACAGTAAGTCGGTTTATAACTCCAAATTCACTATGGTTTATGGTACTTATAACGAACTAGTTCCTGGGGCGAATCGAAACCAACTAACATCACTGGGGGGCCTCACATTGTAGGGATGCAAACAACGGAATATAACCATAGGATGGACAGCCCGTTATGAAGATGATGCTCCGGTCTTTTTTAATCCAATCCCTCTGATATTAAATTCCCCAAAATGAATAGATCCAATTCCCCGTGTCGTTTGGGGACACCCCCGTGTCCGAAACCCTGATTTCGTACTGGCCTCGCTTCAGGTAGGTATCTTTCAAGGTAGGTTTTTAGGGCCCCAGACATAGACTTAGTATGACTTAGTTATCTTATTTAGGCTTATGAACCAGTATAATGGTTCATAAACCGAAATAGATCAGTTAGTTGATGAGGGTTGATAAACTAAATAGCTGGTATAGTTATCTGGGTGGTGGTTTGGAACATTTTTTATTTTTCCATATACTGGGAAGATTAATCCCAGCTGACTTTCATATTTTTCAGAGGGGGTGAAACCACCAACCAGTTATGTTTGTAGCTGATATCGCGGAGTGTTCGCCTTAGATTTCATAGTGAAAAAGCAACTGGCATCACCTCCGATGTCTTTCGGGGTTCGGGATGAACAATGAGGTAAAACTCCAGTCTTGGGCATATACAAACGGGATATGTCACCATAGGGATATGATATGCAAATGTCATGGCTAAATGGATTCATGACCACACTTAGGGGAACAGTTTAACTTTTGACCATGGCATGTCATTGCTGCGTAACTTCCCGTACGTGCTGGTACATACCCGGAATAGCAATTAGGTAAGGACCATACTACAGCCCAGTTCTATAATGTAATATATATATATAGTGTATATGGAATATCCCGAGTTATTTACATGTCGTAAACCAATAAGGTGGTGGTCACCCACTTGTAAGTTGGTTCACATAATTCATAATAATACCCTTGATCTATAGTATTCTATAGTTATATCATGTTGTATCATTGTAGTTATATCCCCTTAATCAACCCTAGTTATTGGAATTACCCTCTGGTAAACTAACATAACTATGGAACATCAAAATTTTTAATGGGCAAACTCGCTATAAATGGCCATTTTCAATAGCTATGTTTGTTTACCAGAGGGTATCTTACTAGATGGGCTGGACATCGTTTTTGTTTTTCGAAGCATCCCTCTATGATGACCTTGGAACTGGCCCATTTCAGCAGTCTAAGGAAGTAGAGGTACCTACCATCCATTAATTTACTAAGGGATAGTATTTGAATTGATAAGTAGGTAAGAACGATTTTGTCAATCCCTGATAGGGATTAGACAATTATTCCATTTTTGCGTTTTCTGCAGCCGAGAAAACGCAACAACTCATAATCAACAAGAGGTCACCCGAAAATCCAACTTTTTGTTACTCTCTGGTAAATTAACATAGACCCTGGCAGAAGTTTCCATTAAAACTAGGCTATTTTCAGAGTCTATGTTAATTTACCAGAGGGTAAACCATGTTTTTTTTTCTCCAGCAAAACAACTATTTTAGGGTAGGCCCGAGGTTCAGACACATTCAGAATCCCACTCTTCAGCCCGTGGGGGGCTGATGACTCGTTCTGGGTTTTCTACAATGAACCCCGACACTGACCGACCAGAACAGTGGAATGACGGAGTTGGTGAAATCCCCATTAAATCCCATTCACTCCCAGTAAGCCCCATTAAACCATTATTGCTAGTCAGATTCCCATAATGATCCACAATTTTCCGCATTGTATCTCCATCAGAAACATCATTCAACAAACATGTCAGGGAACCGATTTATTGGAGCTACCTACCATCTCTGGTTGGTGGTTTGAAACATGAATTTCATGACTTTCCATTCAGTTGGGAATGTCATCATCCCAGCTGACTTTCACTCCATCATTTTTCAGAGGGGTAGGTCAACCACCAACCAGCTATATAAGTAACTAAGTATGATAATCAATGGGATTTTGCACCATATTAAACCATACTAACCATATTATGGTATATCCCAGTAAATCCCATGAAAGATCCCAGAAATTCCCATTTTTTGTCACCATTTTTACCCACCAACCAGATATATATCCACCATGAAACCCACCAGGCACTTTGATTCGCCACCATATATATATATATACTGGTTGGTGGTTTGAAACATGAATTTTATTTTCCATTTCATATATGGGATAATTAATCCTTTCCATTGACGAATTCCATCATTTTTCAAGATGGGTAGGTCAACCACCAACCAGATATGATTGTGACATGCCATAAATAATCTTGAGATTTCAGTATCTCAATACCCACTATTAACCACTATAAACCACTATTAACCACTATCCAGGGAAGATCCCCACCAAAAAGGCGGGCCTGAAAATTCAGGGTGAGATCCGATCCAACCGCAGGTTTTTGATCCAGGCCTCCGCGGTGCATCTGGCCTTCAAGGCGGGGAGCGCGTCGGGGTGTCTCTGTGGTTAGCCAGTTATAGTTTGTTAGTTATACCAGTTTTTTTCACTAAGTAACTAACTACAAAAGGTTAACTATGGAAAACTGGTTAGTTAGTTAGTTAGTTAGTTAGTTGGTTAGTTAGTTATATAGTTATATAGTTAGTTAGTTCGCTAGTGAGTTAGTTAGTTAGTTAGTTAGTTAGTTAGGTAGGTAGGTAGGTAGGTAGTTAGTTAGTTAGTTATATATTTAGTTAGTTCGCTAGTGAGTTAGCTAGTTAGTTCACCCATTCTAAGTGGGTTTATTTTGGGGATATTTGATGGGGATATCACCCACGAAACTCACCAGTATGCCGCCATGGCCCATCGAAGTAGAATTTTGTGGACGACAGGACGAGGAATGCCAAGCAGCTAACCTACAAAGGGAGTTCACGCAACTGACTAATGTGGGTAAAAGCCATTTTTACCACCCATGACTGGGAATGGTAAACGTACCACCAACCAAAAAATGGTGATGACTGGGGGATGGTTTATGACATTGTTTTACCCACATTACGGTCACATGTTTTTAGCTGACCAAAACTGATTTATACATTTTTCATAGAGTTTGAATGTGTACAAAGTGATCGAAGAAATGTATACTAACCACCAACACTTTGGGTTTTACTGGGTAAACCCGCTTCTGCATGGACAGTTCTTATGTTCCACTTCTTGTTTGCCACTGTGATCGGGAAATTGATGCATCAACTGGAGATCTACTAGATGGGGCCAAAATAATATCCCCCTGTTGGTTCCACATAGAGGGTACATAAATAAATATCCCATGAAAAACCATGTTTTGTTGGGTGTTTAGTATTTGGGGAATGGGATTACTTGGCTTTATGTTGGTTCATAAATAGGTGAACGATTGGCTTTATGGTAGATATCGCCTTTTTTTCGCTGTAGTTCATGGGGTGAAACTCACACGTTTCACTGGTGATTCCTGGGCTCCACCTTGGTTTTTTCAGGATGATTTGATGATTTGGGGTTGGACGGGCAACAAAAAGGAAGGTATGAATCCGGATTAGTTGACTATCCGAACTGGGGGATGTGCCATTGCAGTTGCAACTGAACGATTTTTTATTCTTGTTCCCTTTCTTCCATGCTGGTGGTCTAGGGGCCCTAGGGGCCCCTTACATTCTTTACGACATATGGAGGATTCCTAAAATATGGGTGCCCCCAGACCATTGGTTTTGCCATGGAGAATCATCAATCTTCAAGATGATTTTTGGGTACCACCATTCTAGGAAATCCCCATATTAGTCAGAGAAGGTTAGTTATGATCCCCCTTTTCCTTCACTTCAGTACTCCCCTCAATCAGAAACAACAGTGAGTATGGTCTAGTGTACTTGGTGGTTCATCCCACTTAGTAAGTAGCTCAGTTCACCCATGCTCACCCTATTTATAAGATGTTGTATATAAGTGGATTAAGCCTACTGATCCCACTTATGACTGGGATATATATTTTTTTTTTACTCCTGCCTTGCGCGTAAATGACCAAAAGCAACAGGAAAATTAGAAGCGCGCGTTGGCGCCATCACCAGGAAGCCTTTGAAATTTGGTGTGTTTTGAAGCAACTGTTTGAGTCTCATAGGGTTTTGAATGGAAGGGTGATGAGAAAAGTAGAGGTTGGTGGGCTCTTGAAGAAAACTAAGCATGTTGTGTAGCCAATGTTGCGAAGGGCGGCCTCTTGTTGTCTTTTGTGTTGCAGCAATATGATCCCTGTAGGCTGAGCTAAAAATGACGTGATGATATGGATCGTCCGGCGGAGTGGCCAACACTTCAAGTAAAATTTCCGTTTGTTGTTTAAGGACTATTTGAGACGCTGTGGTTGGTTTACCTGTTTACCTGCCCTCTGCCAAACCGTAAAGTTAGAAACTCTTGAAATATAGGAAGCTGGTATTCCTAAAACCCTACGAAGGAGTCGAAAGTAATAGCCATCGATTAATTTAAAATGTTTGTGCGCAAGCGTCAGACAGTTCAACCCATAGGTCAAAGAAGACACAACTACTGAGTGGAAAATATAAAGCTTCGTTGTTTGTGGGAGCCGGCTGTTCCAAACTAGTCTAATGGATTGGAGCGCTGTCCGAGCTATAGAAAAACGTGCGGCTATAGCTGTTTCGGTAGGGTGATCCCATGTAACGACCGAGCCTAAATATTTCACACTGGTTGTGATTGGGACAGGTTGACCGTTGGCGAAGTTCATGGCTGCATCAGATTGGGGGTCGCTTACAAGAAGTTCGCTCTTAGAAAAATTAAGGGACATGCCATACTTACTAGCTTCTTGTTCTAAGGCTTGTAGCATACTTTCAAGTTGTGGGGTGGAAATACCGAAGATAAGCGTATCATCTGCGTATTCAACATCGAAGACTGGTTTACCGATGGACCAGGTGTTGGTTGGGGTACCCTGCTGAATGAGTCTTAACTCAGTGTCTTCCAAAATAAGAGAAAGAATCAAAATAAACAGATATGGACTAAGAGGGCAACCTTGGCGTATGCCTGACGAGACCGCGCCAGTAGCTACTTGGCCGTTCATACCCAGGATGGAGAATTCGGGGGACGTGTAAAAATCCTGGATGATTTCTATATAACCCGGGTGAATGTTCCATCTCTGAAGACCTTTCATAAGGGCGGAGTGGTCAAGTGTGTCAAAGGCTTGTTTCCAATCTAAGAATAGCATGTGCATGGGTTTACTCAGTGCCCTCGACCAGTCTTGAATCCGTCTGACCAGGAATAGTGCGTGACGTGTACCGCGTGCAGAACGGAATCCATATTGGGTAGGACGAATGAATATATGAGTCTAGTTCGCTTGCTAATCTATGTTGGAGAATGGTAGCGTATAGTTTGTACAAGACGGGTAGCAGGGAAATGGGGCGGTAGGAGGCAGGATCTTGATCATTACCTTTACCCTTATAGAAAGAAACGACAACAGCCATCTTCCATTCTTTTGGAATCCGTCGCTTACTCAGACATAAGTTAAGTAAATTCAAAAGCTTGAGTTCTCCATACGCGTCAAGAGCCTTTATCATATCTGCGGTAAGATCATCATGGCCGGGCGCTTTGCCCTTACGCAGCTTATCAATGGCAGTTGAAAGTTCTACCGAGGAAATTTCTGCGAGGGGTAGGGAAGGGCCCATGCGTAGAACTTCGCTGTTAATGGACTCGACGCGCGCTGCGGATAATGTGGATGGCCTTTGCAAACTTAACTAAATTAAACCTGTCAACATCTTTGTATTTTAAATGAGTGGAACTTGTTTTTGATGGAGTAGGGTGAGTGATTTTGCAATTATGCTTCTTGTTTATTTCAAGCGAAACTGGGTTCCTTGGAAGTTTCAGCCCATGGCCACAGCAAGGGTGGGCGCTCTCCCATTACATGCTGCCAGTGAGTTAGTGATCTATGTCGAAATTGCCCAGACATTTGATCAATCTCAAAAGGCTGAGTTTGTGGGTCTTTCAAATGCGGAAAACCTGCTACACAATATCATGTACGGAGTTGTCTGTGAACCTATGAACCAAAACCTAAACAAATGGTTCGAACGAATAGAAGTGACACCTCGGATCAAGAGGAAAGAATGTGCAGCCAAATTCCTCAAAGAGCTTGGGAAGGCTCTGAAGCCCAGGGGGAATTGCACTCATTTCACCCTAGAAGAGATTCTACGGATGGATCCACTAGATTTGTACGACAAGCTGGAGCTAGGCTTTAATGCCTCATGCCAGGCCACCAGAATCCGGATTTCAGAAGATAAGCCTCCTCTAGATCCCGCTTTTTCAACAGTTTGTGAAGCCAGGGAGGAAATCATCAAAGTGTGTGGCTGGGCAAACTTGTTGTCCAACCAATCAGTGGAATCTGTGCTTGCAAAGCTATCAAATTCACATTTGGACCCAATGATAGCTTTGGAGGTCAGCAAGACAATCCTAGTCAAGAGAAACAATGTCCATTCTGCTTCATTCTCCCGGGTGAAAGAGATGGATGGGTTTCTTTACCATTTCACGGTTTCTGACGAGCTCGAAGTGACTGAGCTGATGGATCAATGTCAGACATTTCTCTTTTGGGTGCGAATGAGGGAAGATGTTTCAGGGAAACCAAAGAAGCTGTACCCTGCGTTTCGGGAGTTCTTGGCAGCCTGACTGGGATATAAGCCACTCATTTACCAACCCTTTCGGGAATTGGCCAAAGACAAGATGATGACGGGATGATGCTAAAAAAAACATGTTTGGTGCAATATGTTTGAGCTTTAGGACATACTCAAAAAGAATAGGAACTATATAGGAACTATATATAGGAACTATACTGGTTGGTGGTTTGGAACATTTTTTATTTTTCCATATATTGGGACTAATCATCCCAACTGACTAATATTTTTCAAGATGGTTAAAACCACCAACCAGATAGGAACTATATGTAGGAACTATATCTTCATATCCCAGGCTTGGGGATGAAGATAGTTGCATCAGTCCTGTCATTTTCTTCGAAGGATGTTTTCTGAGACGTGGCCAGTCATGGTTGCAGCCTGGAGACTGTTGATATGGGGGGTTCCATAAATGGGGGTACCCCAAGCTCGCTGGATGGTTTATTTCATGGAAAATCCCACCTAAAAATGGATGATTTAGGGATACCCCCATTTTAGGACACCTCCATATAATCTGATATAGACTTTTAGTCCAATGACACACAAGTGTTTAAATACAGAAAAGTACCAGGAAGTGCCGTGTTATGTTGTGTCCAACCTGGCAAACTAGGTGATTTCATCTTATTTCCACTTTTTTTCTGGTCGAAATCTAACCCCACTGGTATGTTCATCCAGGCTCAAGCCAGATCTTCGTCGATTCAATCGCCGTCTCATTGTATAGATACTTAGAAGCTTTGACTTGTATTTTTGATATAATTTGATGAGTTTCATAGTATTTTTTTCTATATGGAGGTGTCCTAAAATAGGGGTACCCTAAAAAGTCATTCATTTTAGATTCGGATTTGCCATTACACACAAACCATTTTAGGGTACCCCAATGACTATGGAAACCTCCATTTTTTTATAGGATTTTTTATTTTTTTTACCAACCAGCTATTGGGGATCTTCATTTCTGGAAACCCCCGTATCTTGATTGGTTTCATCCCAAACGCCATGAAACATCGACGCGAAGCGACCCGCGAAACGAAACGCCCTGACTTTGCGAGCGCGCCCTGGTGCCACAGGCACTCTTCCTGGAGCTGCCTGCAGGCGTGAACCCCGGTTGACGAGTTTGGGGATGATTTATGATGATTTCTGATGATTTCTGATGACTTCTGATGATTTCTGATGATTTATGATGATTTCTGATGATTTCTGATGATTTATGATGATGTCTGATGATTTCTGATGATTTATGATGATTTCTGATGATTTCTGATGACTTCTGATGACTTCTGATGACTTCTGATGATTTCTGATGATTTATGATGACTTCTGATGATTTCTGATGATTTATGATGATGTCTGATGATTTCTGATGATTTATGATGATTTCTGATGATTTCTGATGACTTCTGATGACTTCTGATGACTTCTGATGATTTCTGATGATTTATGATGACTTCTGATGATTTCTGATGATTTATGATGATGTCTGATGATTTCTGATGATTTATGATGATTTCTGATGATTTCTGATGACTTCTGATGACTTCTGATGACTTCTGATGATTTATGATGATTTATGATGATTTATGATGATTTCTGATGATGTTGATGATGATGATTTATGATGATTTCTGATGATTTCTGATGACTTCTGATGACTTCTGATGACTTCTGATGATTTCTGATGATTTATGATGACTTCTGATGATTTCTGATGATTTATGATGATTTATGATGATGATGATTTCTGATGATGATGACTTCTGATGATTTCTGATGACTGATGATTTCTGATGATTTCTGATGACTTCTGATGACTTCTGATGATTTCTGATGATTTCTGATGATTTCTGATGATTTCTGATGATTTATGATGATTTTCTGATGAATTATGATGATTTATGATGATTTATGATGATTTCTGATGATTTCTGATGATTTCTGATGATTTCTGATGATTATATACTGGGGAGTATCACAATGATTATCAGAACTAGTTGAATGGGGATCATAATGGTTGACTAGTTTTTTGGAGATTATGCCAAGCACTATTATGGGGATTATCACAAAGAACGGGGAATCCCGCATTGCTTATTATAATGATGAATGTCCTACGTCCTAGGAAAGCAACCGTTTTCCACATGGATTTGTTTGGAAATGGGTTACCCTCTGGTAAACTAACATAGCTGTAGAAAATACCCCATTTATAGTTGATCATCCATGTCCCTGAGACACCATAGATTCGAAGCCCATTCCCCAGTTTCAGACACACCCATATCAAATATTCATTGGTTGAATATTGTCAGTCATGTTACCCTATGGTTATTTAACATAGCCATGGAAAATGGCCCCTTTATAGATGGCTTACCTATTAAAAATTGTGATTTTCCATGGCTATGTTAAATAACCAGATGGTAAGTTCCAATTTTCAATGGGAAAATTAAAAAAAACTTCCTGGTCAAGTATACCCTCTGGGTATTGAACGCAGCGAAGTGCATAATCACATATAATCACCATTTTCAAGAACGGTAAATCATCATTGTTATCATCTATTTCTATGGACATGGCTTCCATAAATCCACCATTTAGTTTGATGATTTTACCAGCTATAAACCTTCATCTATTGGGGATTTCCCATCATTCTCCAGTTGACAATGCAACTAGTCATAGGATACTTGGAATTTAAATCATCAGAAATCATCATAAATCATCTATAAATGGGCCATTGTCCAGTTCGTAAAGTGTTAACCCATTGATGGCTACCTCTTGCAGCAGGCGTGGGAAAGATCTTTGGCTACGGATCGTTCCTGGTAAATTACTTGGTAGAACCTTTGGTAGCAAAAAATGGCAATTTAATGAACAAAAATGGTGGTATCATGGGGATATACTCGGGATATTCCACTTCTTAATAGTATTTAGTAGTTATATATATATATATGGTCTCGTATTGGGATGACACTGGGATTTAGTAGGGATTTCACTAACAAAATTCTCGGATAATGTTTTTTTTTTTTTTTTATGGCTACAACTGAGAACATATTGGATCATGGGATTTAATCAACAACTTCATGGGAAAAAAAATCACGTCCATATTTGATTTTTGGGATATTTCATGGGAACATAATGCGAATATAATGTGAATTTATATAATGAGCATATACAATGGATGTATAATATATATATATATATATTATGCATACTAGTTATATATATATATATTATAATATATATATATATACAAATCCCATCTAACTAATACTAAAGACCATGGAACCATGATTCAGAAGGGAAAAAAAACACATCTTTGGGACCATGATTCTTGGGGCTGTTTTTCATATTAGGGGGATGGAATTTATGGCCAACTGGGAAAATCTCGAAAATTCATGGAGATTTATAGATACCCGGCCTGGTAAACATTTACATAACTATGGAAAATCACCAGAGGCTATGTTAGTTTACCAGAGGGGAAATGTTTCATTAAACCTCACACACCCCTCCATCTATAGGATATCTGCCATTGCACCAGAGAATATTCAACTATCATTGGGATGCAAAGTCTCCGGCGATTGGGAGGGAACTGTTTGGAGTCTTTTTTTTGTATCCACATTCCCTATGAAATGCAGAGGCAGTTGGAGCTATGAATTGACTGTCCCAATAGGTTTTGCGGATTTAATTTGATTCAACAATGTTAATCAATCATGCAATGTTATTTGATTCAACAATGGTTATTAACATTGATTAGAAAAAGAAACAAAGGTTGATATCATCCCTACGAATTAATTCGATTCAACAATATTATCTGGTTGGCGGTTTGGAACATGAATTTTATTTTTCCATATATTGGGAATTTCATAATCCCAACTGACGAACTCATATTTTTCAAAGGGGTAGGTAGGTATACCACCAACCAGTTATGGTATGTAGCCCTTGAAAGGCGGTTTTGATAATGAATACGATCATATGTGATTCTTGATACGTTATTTTTGGACCCCACATAGTGCTGGTATTGTTTATGCACATTTTTCATTTTGGGGTAAATGTTGGTAATTATGTACCATACATGGAACATCTCTGATTTTGGTGGAAGAGAAGCATGAAAGGGTCCCCAAAGATAATCCCAACAATATGGGTCGAATGTTCCCTGTTGTGGGGTTCGATGCTGGTTCACAATCCCGAGTTACAGCCGGCAACGGGTGACCGAAAAATTGGGGGTTCTTGCCATTGAAGAGAATAGAAATCATCTGTGTCAACCACAGATGAAGCCTGGATGGTTGATCCCTTGCAGGGCTTACCCACATATCTATCTGGGTAAATTATAACGACCTCACTGTGACCTCACTGGAATCATAGTTAATAAGGGAAATCATCCCCAAATGGCCTTAATTCAGGTTAGTGAAATATTATAATTTACCCAGAATCTATATTTGCTACCTCTCCGTAGACTCCTGCTGTGGGCAGCTGGCTAAATTCTGTTCTGCGTTTGCTCAATGTCACATGCATTCGCTGGATAGGTCAGTATTGGGAGTCACTTTCGAACAAAGACTGGTTGGTGGTTTGGAACATTTTTATTTTTCAATATATTGGGAATAATCCTTCCCATTGACTAATATTTTTCAGGTTGAAACCACCAACCAGATTATTTAAAGACGTCTGGTGACGTCTACAAGGCCGCAAATGAAGGCCACAATGCTGTTGAGGTGTGGCCTTCCGGGCAAAAATGCCGGCCACGATGGCGACAGGGAGCATCACTGGACCACCATGTTCGTTTGGAGATGGCTCGACTGCGTTGGCAGTCGAGAAAGAAGCCACATACGTGCCCGGCGTTTTTTGGCTCTTGCTGAGGCAATGAGAATCATATGCGATTGCCACTGGTTTGCTTCACTACTGGTAGCTTTACGAGGCTGGGTTTGTGGTAGACAAAGCTACATGATACCAAACCATCAGCAAACATACAAGTACTATATCAGAGAAGTAAAGCAGTAATATAAACCCTTAAAAAACCAACACAAGAACCCTCATTAGACCTCACATATTCTGCGGTAATTTAGCATAACTATGGTTAAAATAGTCCATTTATGGCTGATTTACTTCTATTTTCCCATGATCTTCCCATGGTATTCCCATGAAAATCATGGGTAAACCATGGTGATTCATCATTGCTTTGGGTGTCAAACCACCAGGTTTAACCACCCTGCAATCCACAGCAGCTCCGTTCCTAGGAGACGATTCCCATTCCCACGGTCTTGCCCAATACGGTGGATGCCGGAGACCCACATCAGGGTGTGACTGCGGAAATCTTGGGATGTTTTGATTGGGAAAATCCATGAAAAACATGGGTTTAGAATGGAATATATGGGAGTATAATAGGATATCATGGGATAGAATGGGAGTATACTAATTAATGATAAGATATAATTTAATGGGATATAATGGGATATAATGGATTGATGGGATAGAATGGGATATAAAATAATGAGATATAATGGGTTTTAACCGTGGAACATATTAGAGGAAAATTGGAATATATATATATATAAGTATGATCAGCCTCAAGTGTATAAAGCATGTGAAATCAAAACCAGCTGAAATTTATGGTTGGAAACTATGATTTATTTCCTGAAAACTATGATCATAAATACTATGAATATCCTGTTTTTCAATAATTGTCCCATTGTTGTGGGTTTGACATATCCATTTTCTATCTAGTATATGGTCAGATGGGGGCGAAACTAAACCAATAAAATAAGTCAGTTGTGTTTGTTGAAATAAACAAATTGATATGGTTTGTAGAAAATCTATCTCTGTCTAATACATATATATATATATATATATACATAATATTAATATCAAAATGGGGATACCTGTACATGATTTCAAATGGCCCTGAAAGCATGGGAAAAATGATGATCTCAACTATGGAACTTATGCTCAATTTTCATACGAAGCCAAGTGATTTTGGGTGAGGGGAATCGTCCGGTTCCTGTAAGTCCTCAACCAGTCCTCAGTCATCCGCAGTTCAAATGGACAACAAGGGCCAGGAAATGGAGTGAAGGGTCTTGACAAGATGATTCTTACAACAAGCTCCAACACAGCCAAGACATTCAAAGCCCGTGACTGTACGTTGCGGCGTGCGCAGAGCCACTAAGTTTGAGTGTCTGGACGCAAGAAAATTCGACAGTTGGACGCAGGAAGGCAACAAAAAAATCATCCGCCGTTCAAATGCGCAAACTTTTGTTTCAGGACTTACAGTAATTTGCCCCGAAATTCATGAGCCAATGCTCCATCTGTGCAATCTTCGAACCGCAGCAAAACTCAGAGAAACCATGTGGTGTGCCCCAGTGATGTTTGTTGCCTTATAATCCCCGTTAATTAACTATATAGTTACTATAGTTATCTCCCCCATCAACCCCAGTTGTTGCAGTCATGTTTGTCAACTTACTTAGCGTTTATAATCCACTTTAACTATAGTATACTTCCATCATCCTTGGATAAGTCAAGGTTACCCTCTTGTAAACTAACATAGCGCACTGGAAAATCACTTTTCAATTGCAAACTGTTAAATTGCCAGAGGGTAACTATAGTTATCTCCGCCATCAAGCCTAGTTATCCCCAGTTATTGCAGTCATATTTGCCAGCTTAGCGTTCACCTTCACGAGGGCACCACCTTGTAGGGCAACTCATAGCTACGTCGAAATCTGTTGCTTGATATTGCTTGATTAGATAAAGGTCAAGGAACATTTCAACACCATGAAAAATGGTGAACACATGTGAACACATCTTAAAAACTGACAATATCATACAGCAGTTGTTGTCCATTTGGAGCCTGAAGGATGGGGCATTGGTTGGCCGACAAATACTACAAATAATGCAAGAACAACAACAACTACTGCTACTGCTACTGCTACTACTACAAATAAGAAAAGTAATAACAACAATAAATATGACAATCTCTACATATATATATATACAGCTAATAATAATGACGAGATCATCAAAGTTGGGAACATCTCTCCATGCCGTGGCGCTGCCGCGCTCAGCCTGTCTTCGGGAGCCTTGAAGACTTCACGGCGGAGTTGAAGGACGTGCCGGACATTGCTGCGCTGCAGGTAGGGCGACCTGAACCTGGGGATTGATGTGGAGTTCATGAAAAAACGTGATAAAAAATCATTGAACATGGTGGTTTAACCATGACAAATGGGGGTTTAACCATTGAACATGGGGGTTGAAAACCCTTGAAAATAGGCTTTTGCGGTAACATCAAACAAGTGATTTCACAAAAGGCGTTTAAGCATTGAAAACGGTGGTTGAATGTGGTTGAGCCATCAACAATCCTCATGAATTAGTTTTCGAACAGCTACCCTTCGGTAATCGAACATGGCTAACAGGGAAATGCCAAGCTAAATAGGCAAAATATCGGATTTTCCAGCCCATGTCGGCTCAGAGGGCAACTGATATAATGTCAACACTGGATTAATGTCCACCCTGTTTACGGCTGTTTAATTGGGAGGGTACCAGTACCATAAAAAAGTATTAGATGAAATGACTATTGGAGGAGTACCCGCTTTTTTTCATAGACCATGGTTTATTAATCCGGAGTTGACATTATCTGGGAGACTTTCTGAACGAATCTGGGGACTCGACCAACAAGTACTGGGGCGACCTCATCACGAGGTCATTGAAGTCACTGTTCTGAATGATGGCGACTGAACACCACTCCAAAACAGTGTATATGTTTGATTGGGAAATATCGTAACTGGCCAAATTGAATGGAAGCCAAGATCTGGATTCCAAGCATCCACATTGTGTGAACCAAAGATGGGTATTCATAACATTCATTGGTGTTCCAAATGGGGTTTTAACATTTCTTGACGATCCAGTGGATTTTAAGCATGCAACTTGGGGTACTTGATATTACTAACCCAAGAGGACAAGGATCACGATCCACAAGCATAGTTTGGAAGTAAAATCAGCAGTGTATTTGTGCCAGCAAAACCTTTATTTGTTTGATAATTTTTGCACGCATTGCATGTAGCCTTTTGTAATCAAAAGTTGTAATGGACAATCCAAGAAAATCATCTACAAATAAAGGAAAAATCACGGATTTGTCATTGCCAGGCTTGATGACCAGATATTACCAGAGGCTAAAGCTAGCCATGTTCGCTGGCAAAAGCCCTGGTTAAAGCACCGTTTTTCGCTTGTTACTGTCTGGTAAACATACAAAAACTATGGACAATCACCATTTTCTAGCTGGGAAAACTCACTATAGCTATTGAAAATGACCATTTATAATATTTATAGTCTATAAATATTATAAATGGCCATTTTCAATAGCTATTTTGACATTTTACCAGGCCGGGTATAACGTCCCCATTTTGGCTGCTCATAAAAATCACCTTCTTCGAGATCCGCAGATCTCGAGCTGCGCGTCGATCTTGACGCAAGCCATTCGACAAGAGGGTGGCTTCAGCAATTCCATCGTGCCAGTGCTCAAGCGCCTCGGCTTTTTGTCGCTTTAGTGGGAGATATCTGGTTTTTTATGTGATGTTTTTTTAACTAATCATATCTTTTTGACATACTCCATAGTACATGTACTGTTATGTATGGATTTTACATGGAACACATATATGGATTTATAGTATAAATTGTGTCATATTTCATATATATATATACATGTATGTAAATATATACATGATCTGAGATCTGATCTGATGCGATGCATATACATCATAAATATCATAACGATTCATCATAACCTAATATCTGCGCTACTACGTTAAGCATGTTGTAATGACCGCCTCACCTTGTAGCTCAGATGAAGTCCATGGTCATCCCGCAGGAAACGGCATCTGGTTCTTACATGTCCCGGCTTTGTTTAAGGTGATTTGTTTATTTTCCCAATGGAAAATCCACCAGAAATGGGGAATCTATATTATTATTTTTACATATTTTTATTTTTTTTGGGACCCCTTAAGCAAATCCAAGATGTTCTTACTACCAACTGGGATGTATATTGTGAGGAGTATCAAGTTGGATTCTCGTGCTTCGGTGGTACAGACGGATTCGATGGACATAGACATCCGCGCACGAAGCACCTACCCCATCACTGCATAAGCCTTTTTGAATGGATGTGAATGGTAGGTTCCTCCCGGATTATTTTTTGGCCATATGGGTTTAACTGAAAATAGTATACTGCAAATTGTGATTATCATTCATGGTAAATCATCATTTTCCCTATAATGGACGCTGTAAATTGGGGGAGACCCCATTTTCAGTCACTGTAATTCCATTGAACCTGATTTAACCTCATCAAACCCCTCTATAATATATATATATAAACCTCATCAAACCCCTCTATATTATATATAGAGAGCCTGTATAGTATAGCTCAATCCCACAATTTTGTGGTTTAATCTGAATTTTCATGCTTCAATCCGCATTTGCGGTTTTCTGCGACTCTTGGCTTCAGACTCTTCGGGAGCTGCCTCCAAGGTATTGATAATGAAAGTGGCAGTGATAGATTATAGTGCTAATCCAATATTCTCAACATCACGTGATATTATATAAGTTTGTGATATCAATTTATCAAATTAATATCAGTTTCAAGGAATATATATATATATATATATCATATATAGGTATATATATTATTTTATTATATTGTATTATATTATATTATATTATGTTATCTTATCTTATATTATATTAAATTGAATTAAATTCAATTATATTATATTATGTATATATATATATAATTATATTATATTATATTATATCATATCATATTATATCATATTTTATTGTATTATATTATATTATATTATCTTATATTATATATATTATATTATGTTATCTTATATTATATTATATATATATATTATATTATGTTATCTTATATTATATTATATTATATTATATATATTATCTTATAATATATATATATGTATCAATTTCCAGGCATGTCACTAAAAGAACTTCAGTTTCTGCCGCCGCATAGCTCCGCTAGTCCTGAGGCAACCTCTCTTCATGACCCTCTTGGGTCGAATGGGCGAGGGAACCTATGCCTTTAGGTGTGGCTTTACCCGGCTGGGGGATCGAAAAAATGCAGACAGATTGAACTGGGGATATTTCATATATAGCTCATATATATATATATATACAGTATATCATATGTGTATATATATATATATACGCGCAACGCCTGGGTTCTGCCCAGGCGTTGCAGCGTATATATCTACAATTCACAAACAAATGATATTGCAAA